ATGTACTAAGGGAGGAGGGTTGTCTGTAGTAAGCCCAAGTTGGAAGATTAATTATCAAAATTAAAATGCGACACCTTTTTAAGACAAAGTGTCACCAAAACCGAAACCTAAACCGGATGAAAGTAAAAGTGTGCTATGACTTTTAAATTCTAGGAAGTCTTTTCTTGAAGAAAACAGAGGCTAGCATCATTATCCTTCCAGCTATCAGTTCGTAAGAAAATGGTCTCATCATGCCAAAATGGGGCAAATGAAGACGTTAAAATTCGGTATACTTATAAAAAAATTTTCAGTCATGTAAAGTGCCTGCCATAAAGGACAGAAGATTAATCATTAATATATTGAAGGTCTACAAGATGTGTAAGAAAAATACCAAGATGTGGGAAGAAAGAAAGAAAGAAAGAAAGAAAGAAAGAAAGAAAGAAAGAAAGAAAAGGAAAGGAAAGGAAAGGAAAGGAAAGGAAAGGAAAGGAAAGGAAAGGAAAGGAGAAAGGAAAGGAAAGGAAAGGGGAAAGGGGAAAGGGGAAAGGAAGGGAAGGGAAGGAAAGGAGGAAGGAAGGAAGGAAGGAAGGAAGGAAGGAAGGAAGGAAGGAAGGAAGGAAGGAAGGGAAAAGCCAAAAAAAAAAGTAAAATCACAGGAGAGGAAACACAAATACCTACTCAGTGTGTGTGAGGGGTGAGGGATCTTAATGGTGATCCACTGTGTCCAATAAGGAGACAGAAACAGTTATTGAAGCAGGAGAAGTTTAATATAAAGAATCAAGCTGTGATGATAGAATAGAAAGACAGAGACCTCCAAAGTTTACCCTAAGGCTGAGGAAGAGGACCCCAAAAAGGGAAAGTTTGGAATCAGGGCTCAGGAATTCGCCCGAGAGAGAGGCTGTGGTTGTCGCCCGTGGTAGAGGGAAGTTTGCTGCCTGCCAGTGCCAAGGTCGTCGTAGGACAAACAGCCCTTTGGGGTGCGGAGCAGCTGGGTAAGTGGGCAGGTGTGCAGAGGGCCTTAGGGATTCTCTTTAGGCCCACGGCCCAGATCGCATAGTGTCTGCGTCTGGAGGTCTGCGGGCAGTTTGGGGGCACAGAGAATCGGGGGCCCTGTTGCAGGTGTGCCTGGACCAGGAGCTAAAGGGGCTTCCTCTGTAGGAACCAGGGCAACGCTGCGCGCGATGTGGGCAGCGGTGCCTTCGAAGCCGTGGGACAGAGGCTGGGCAAGTGGCTTCCTAGATGGCCACCTGGGGCGGAGAGTGCGAGGGGGTGCGTCCCCGTGCGCAGGCGCTGACTGAGGAGGTGGGCAGAGAGCAGTGACCGCTGGAGGCCCGGACCAGCGCTCTGCTCCAGGCCGTGCCACCGCAAGCCAAATCAAAAGCGGGAGAAGGGGCTGGGGACACAAATGGGAAAGAAAGCTGCACCCTCCAGGCAATGAGCCCTGGAGAAGGCCCTCTGGGCAAAGCAGTGGACAAAAAAGCCCACCTCCCAGAAGCCTGGCCAGTAAACGCCCTCCTGCAGCGTTTCTCCAGCGCCCTCTACTGACAAAGCACGACATCGTGCAAAATGCAAAAGGAACCCATCCAAAGGTCCATGGCTATGTCTACATGTGAAAGGAAAGGCGTGCGATTAGGACAAAACCCTCAGCAGCATCCATGTGTCTTCTAAATAAGAAGAGCTAACACCTATTAGATAGAGCTATTTGAAATTGTCAAGATTTAACCTACAAAAGCAGCAATTTCAGATTACTCTAATCACACTAATGGCACCTGCCATTTACCAAGTAGTGTTTTAAGCTTTACATATATTAGCTGATTTAGTGTTTATTATAGTCCCACAAAGAAACGGCCCTTTCAGCCCAATGTCATAGATGAAGTAGAAAGCCAGCCATGGAGAAGTTAGGAAATGTGCTAAGGTCTTTGGGAGAAGAGTTAGGTAGGATTTGACTCACGCTCCAGAATCCACCTTCTTAACGACTGTAATCTATGACCTCACTCTCAACTACACTCCATCCATCTGACAGTGACAGTTGACAGTCTGACAGTTATCAGACAGATCTGATAGTGACAATCTGGTAGTGACAGTCTACTTCCGAAGACAGTTGTGGGAGATATAGGAATCACACATGCAAAGGCCGGCACTTGACGCGTAAACAGGTATGATAAATCTTAGCTGCTGTTGTAATTAAACTACAATGTGCTCCCCTCCCCCCACCACTGTATCCCTATTCTCCACTAGGTCTTACCGCCCACAGCTACTTAATTTTTTTTAAGGATTTTATTTATTTATTTGACAGAGATCACAAGTAGGCAGAGAGGCAGGTGGGGTTGGGGGGAAGCAGACTCCCCGCTGAGCAGGGAGCCTGATGTGGGTCTTGATCCCAGGACCCTGAGATCATGACTTGAGCTGAAGGCAGAGGCTTTAACCCACTGAGCCACCCAGGCGCCCCTATTTAATTTTTGTCTTAAAACCAGCCGAACTGAATCACGCACCATTCCCTGAAACACCTCACCCCCCATCCCACCGGGCCACATCTCTGTATGTTCCAATCCTGCCCAGTTTCTAGTCTTTGGCCAGGGTAATTCCTTCCATGACTTTTCCCAGTCTCTGGAACAATGTGTGATCTTAGACTCTGACGCATCACGTTATCAGTTAGCTCTGCTCTCGTGACACTGGAAGTTTGAAATCTGCCCTTTGTTATATAATTCCTTATGTGTCCGTGTCTTATATAATGCATTAGTTATCTGCTTTTAGTGTATTCATATTGTGCTCTACAACACCAAGCCATGTATGGGATACAATAGAAACTTAACAAACATTTCTTTGAGTCTAATTTGTTAATGTTTATGAATGTGTCAAAATCACTGGAGTGAGGAAAAACTATTTAAAATCAAGTAAATTGGGGGTGCCTGGGTGGCTCAGTCGGTCAAGTGTCTGACTTTGGTTCAGGTCATGATCTCAGCGTCCTGAGATCCAGCCCTGCATTGGGATTCACCCTCAGCAGGGAGTCTGCTTGTCCCTCTCCCTTTCCCCCTCTCTCCTCCCATTTGTATTCCTGTGCACATGCTCTCTCTCTCTCAAATAAAATAAATAACTAATTAAATAAAGTGAACTGTAATGAGGATTAAATTTTTTCTATAATCAAAATAAACTCACTTATGTAGTAAACCCTAAAACATCACTGCTTAGTTTTTATTATACATTTAAAAAATCTGGAAAAATAAAAGTAAGTCCAAATGATAAGTTCATTATGTCATTTATGCCAGGATTTCTGGGGAGAAAACTGTTATTACAAGTCATCACTGAAATCTCGAGTTAATAAATATCAGGACCCCTGGGTTCCAATGTCAGCATCACATATATGGGGTAAAGATAAAAGATGGAAGGATAGAGAAAATGGGTTAAAGAGCTCGGAGGTCAATTTAAAAATTTAAAGAAGGGAGCACACATACAGAAAGTATATATTTCATATATACATAAAATATTAACTGTAGTATTATGTATTAATAAATTATTAATAATTTAATAAAAAATTAATATGTGAATAAATAATATATTGCAATAAATGATATACAAATAAATAAATTAATAATTAATATATTGATATATTTATAATATAGTGCATTACATATGTAGTATATTTTATATATCATATAATATACTGTATATTCAAGAAAAAAAGAGATGAAAGAGAGAATGAAATGGACAGGAAAGAATGAGAAACCGAATGAACAGGGGAGGCATCCTTCCAAGGCCGAGGCTTTAGTTGCAGAGTCCGTGGTTAAAGGACACAGTGCTGGATGTTTGTTTAACTGTTCATGGAAGGAAATAGCCATTATCTCCTCCATACTATGAAGTTGAGTTTTCAGATCATGTTCCTTGACATGCCAGGGGAGCACTAATGCACTAGGGAAGAGCCCAGTTTCTGGAGCTGAATGGTCTAGATTCGCCTCCTGGTTCCAAAGCACCTGTGAATGCCCGGGCAAGTTACGTCTGTAGAATGGGAAGGTTAATGATAGCACCTGCCTCATTAGATTGTGATGAAGATCAAATGAATTTTTCCTGGTAAAAACTTAACAGTAGTACCTGGCACACAGTCCCATGCTGGTTGTTAGTACACAGCCAGTGACAACAAGCCGGAAGTTACGTCTAACTATGTGTCTTTAGGACACCGGTTGTTGCAAAAGCAAACTTAGTTAGCACGTAGGTGACAAGGTACCACCCACAGGACCTATTCCTCACCTCAGTTCTGACCTTTTGGAGCTTTGCTAATAACTCAAAGACTCTTGGCAAACAGAATGTTAAATATTTTCTTGATTTCATAATGTGTTCAATGCCACAGGCATGAGGCAAAGTCCTGATAGTTGTAGTCTAACTGATGGTGAAAGAAAGAGGCAAAAAGAAGGAAACGCATGTTTTCACCACGTTCCACCGGAAGGTAAACCTTCTGAAGACAGGAATTTTTTTCTGTTCTGTTTGGTCACAAGCTCCTAGAACTATGCCTTGTACCCAGCAGATACCCACTAAAAATCTACTGAATGAATGAATGTTGTAAGTGCTTCCAAGTACCTTCCAGTGCTACACCTTCAAAAAAGCAAAACAAACAAACAAACAAACAAAAAAACCAAACCAAGACAATTATAAAGGTAACTTATTATAAAGCACATTCCACTTAGTTCGGCAGGGGAATGGACAGAAACTTCAAAGCTTCACTTGGGTCTTTGACACTCTGGAAACCCAGCAGCCAGTTCCCAGAGAGATGTGGCTGCCCATTACCTCTATCTGAGGTTTTGAAAGGCCCCCAAGATTTCATATTTCTGGTGCAGCTCCTGAGAGGCTGGAAGCTTCTGGGAGAAAGGAAGAATGTCAGCTGGTTGCATGAGGGTTACGGTAAGTAGATTTCTCTGCTAAGCAGGAAAGGAGAGATTTAGTGTAGCCTGGCAAGGATTCTTGAGTAACATTGTGAGTGGCTTAAAAATGATTAACAACATTTGTATTTTGGATATGAGATATGTGTTTTATTACTCATGAAAGTAAAAGGCAGAGCTCAGCAAAGATTTCACTTTGACATTTTCTGGAATCATTTGCTTCCCAAGAGAGACTGGCACTTTTCAATCAGTTTGGACCCCTAGGGGAAAAAAAAAAAAGCAAATAAGTACCTCTGTAACAAAACAAAACATCTGAACATCTATGATCCCCAAAGAGAAAATCTTTAAGACTTGTCTATTATATGCCTGAGAGAGGCTCTAATGTGCCCACAGCTCAAGGTCTTGGAATTTCTTAGAGCCTAGTCTCTGAGCTTAACGGCTTTACTAACTGCAATGCCTCTCCCCCCTCAGGACCCCAGATTTGGAATAAATAAAAATTTGTTTTTTCCTCACAAAAATATGGGACTCTTGCTGCAGGGTTAAAAAAAAAACAGACAATCAACATCAGATTCTCCTTGCATTTTAAAGCTTCCCAAGGCTAATCCCATGCTAAATCATTATACAATCAGGTATAAGAACTTGAGAAGAATAAAATCACCAACATTATCAGAGTGTCTCTACTGCCTTCACACATACTGAAATCAACCTCTATGTTAAGTCCAGAAGTTCTCTTAAATTTTTACCCGGGTAGTCTTTATTCAAATAAAAGTTATTTGTGGAAACCCAGAGAAATCAATAAAAGTTAACTCTTAGTTAACTGTGGGAATGGGACCCCTGGAACTCCACTGCTGAGAGGAACACACACACACACACACACACACACACACACAGCCCCCCAGGTGATAGATGGCTTGCACTCCTAAGAGCTCCTAGCACCCTGTAGGACATGGTTAGAAGTCAATTAATTCAGTCCTTCTTCCTGCCCTCAAACAGACCACACTTAAATCCTCTGGAGACTGGAATCTAAGTTTGTTTTTGAAAATTGCTCCCAGTTTAACGTATCCTCGTTTCTTTGGCAACTCGTGACTTTGGATTTAAGAAGTGCCTTGAAAATGCCTTTTAAACTTAAAAGATTTAAATCCATCTTCATGGGAAATTTTCCCATAAGCTTAACCTCAAGACCCTCATATTTAATCTTGTTCATTGGCTCTGAACCTAACAATAGTGGAGTAAGTCATATTTCTCTATATCTGTCCCTCCCGACTGTATTTATTTCATAGTTCCTCAATAAATTTCTAATTTGTAATGATAACAAATGTTGGGGTAAGGGGGACGTTTCTGATAAAGGTAAGGTAGAAGAAAGGCTTCTGAGAAACTATCGTAATAATGAGAAATGTTCTGCATGAAATAAGGGATGATAGCACTATATCTTGAGGCAAAGTCCAAGGAAGATATTGAAATATAAAACATGGACTCATATGATGGAGGGCAGAGAACAGAGAAAAGAAAGAGGAGACATTTTCCTTACACTGACACCAAATTAGTCACTCTGGTCTCCTATAATCCTAGACAGGTTGGTAGACTGCTATCATATCACCCATCTTAAGACTTTGGAATAAACATTACCAGTCAATTTCTCCATATCCCTGTGACATGCTTTTCAACACTTTTTTTTTTTAATTTTAGATACTCTCTTGACATAACAATTTGCCAATATTCTCTTAAAATGTATTGTCTCTCATCTCTTCCAAAATCCCAGTGCAATAATGGTGAAAATATTATTTTAAATAAAGAAGAAATTGGGGCCCTGCATGGCTCAGTGGGTTAAAGCCTCTGCCTTCAGCTCGGTTCATGATCCCGGAGTCCAGGGATTGAGCCCAGCATTGGGCTCTCTGCTCAGCAGAGAGCCTGCTTCCTCCTCTCTCTCTCTCTGCCTACCTCTCTGCCTACTTGTGATCTCTATCTGTCAAATAAATAAATAAAATCTTTAAAAAATAAAAAAGAAGAAGAAATCTTTATCAATGCTAAAAAGAAAAAAAAAGCAACAAGATATAATGATGAACAGTTGAGGGAAAAAAAAAAAGTCATCAGTATGATATTGACCAGTATTTCAAAGTACAAAAATAGGAGCTCAGGATAATAAAAGGATGATATGTCACAGCAGTAAAAGAACAGAAAGTCATTGACTTCTGAATTGGTTTTAGTTCTTGTCTGCTGTCCAGCCTGTTTTTTAAACTTCTTAAAGATTCCTGTAGCCACCACTACCCTTTCAATAAGCTAATGTCTACTTAGCCAGAATTCAATTCTTTTATTATACCCAAAGAACCCCCATTGACATATCAGCAAAAATACTGTGCAAAAATATAGACAAAATAATGTTTTAAAATGCAAGGACCCAGAAAGTTTATCTCCCAGGTGTTCATTCTGAAATAATCCATACATATGCACATATGTGTTAGGAATGTAGTCCAGCAAAACAAAATAGTTCAAGAAAAAACATAAAATAGTATTTTAGAAATAGTCCAGTTTACCCAGGATTACACTAAAATGAGACCCCATGTGGACAGCCATGAATCAGTCCTAGAAATAATTAGATCCAATTGAAAAATTCAGTCAGAGGACTTTTTGAAATATACTTTTAAGAAGACAGAATAGTCTGTTACAAAAACTCTATTCTTAAGAACCTGAAACATTTTAGTGGTGTCATGAAAGTAGGGGCTTTATTTGCCAACATAGAAAAAGAAAGACAATTCACAACTCTCAAAAACAGAAGGATATACTAGGGAATTGTAGTCCAAATGTGCAAAACTAATAAAAGTGGCATGATTTTCTGCAGCTTATGTAAGAAAAGAGATTTGTTTAATCTCTACACCTTTTAACAGGGTAAGTCATTCCATTGGTCCATCCGTTCATGGTCCTAATGTAAATAGTGTTCCAACTAAACACACAATTAAATATAGAATTTAATGGTTTCCAGTTTTTAGCATCTACTTATGAACAAAGCATATGAACCTTATATTGAATATGCAGATAAATAAACCCAGATAATGTAGACATAATAGTATATATAGCTTTCGGAGGGGGAGACAAACCATGTGGACTCTGAGAAACAAACTGAGGGTTTTGGAGGGGAGGTGGGTGGGGGGTTGGGTGAGCCTGGTGGTGGGTATTATGGAGGGCATGTATTGCATGGAGCACTGGGTGTGGTGCATAAACAATGAATTTGGAACACTGGAAAGAAAGAAAAAACAAAATAAAATGAAATTTAAAAAAGCTGGAAGGAAGTCAAAGGAAGTTTAGACATGGTAACTAGTTTTGGAGAATTACTAGATGCTGACTGGTATTAAAGGGCCAAGAAATAAAATATAACTAATAAAAGAATTAAAAATACTTTTAAATAAATTAAGAAAACATCTAGAGATAGGCTTCTGGAAGTTAGCCTAAGTACACTTAATTCATTATGTGATGTTAATATTTTAAGAAACTACTACAGCATTGATGGTAATCTCTGGAACTAAAAGTGAAAACTTAAACTGGTTACCTTTTGGGAATGGGAAATGCACCCTGGTCTTCTGCTTGAACTTTTACTGTGTTCATGCATTACCTACACAATTTTCAAAGCTTGCGTAACTGTAAGAAACTGTGGTAAGAAACTGAACATAGTAACGGGGAATGACCTGATCCACATAAATTTGGGTTATCACGCCAGTTCATCTGATCCTTGTTTTCTCTTCAGAAACACATCCAAGATTGTGGTAGCTCTAATACTAGACCCATCAAGCTGGTAGGTACAGACGACTTAACCAGCAGATCTTTCCACATGAACCTGGGTTAAGTCACATCTAACAGTAGAACCTTGCCTTTTTTCCATTGTTAAATTTCATATATTATTTTCAAAAACATTGTTTCAACTTGCCCACATTTCTGCTTATTCATGTTTACTTTCTTCTATATTATATTCTGTTGGTTGATAGAGAAATATCTTGGGCTATAATTATTGTTCCCCACTGACCTGGCAGAGAGAATTTCTCTGAGTTGAATTTTCTCTTTGAACCTGCTGATGTCTATAATTTGTTTCATGAAATGTGAGATGCCTTTTCTCTGGATGATCCAAATTCACCCTGTATAGCTAAGTTTCTTTTCTTTTTTTTTTTTTTTCCTTTTATATATTTCAGTTGTACTCTTGCCAACATTCCAACATTGACTTCGGTCCACCCTTTTTCTCCTCAGAATTTGGCTTGCTTCTTAAAATGTCTTCTATCTGTCTAAAAAGGTTTTATCCTCCCAATGGCTATAGCTAGAAAGACAGTCTTCAATCCTGCCTACTTTCTCTTTTAACAGGCAGAACAGGTTCCCATAATCGACTCTTAAAATCTCAAAAGAAAACAAAGAACATGCCTGCAGGTCCTTGGAGCGCTTAGTCTTTTCTAGCTAACTTGGAACAAGCACGGACTGCCCGTTGGCTGAGTCTCTTCACTTCTGGGGTCTTGGTTCCATGGGGCTTCCTAGAGTAGCTAGGTTTTATTCCTTTGCACTAGAGTCAACTTAGACTCCTTTCATAAAAGTAGAAGTACAAAGAAACCAATTCTTGGCAATAAAATTCTTAAGTAGTTTGATCATCTATCCCCACATTTTTTTGCTAAGCCTGTTCATAAACTATAAGGCTATTTTTTAAAAATATTCCAGTCGTAGCTTTATATTTAATATCCCCCAATTCTTTCCCTTTCGTTCATAAATGTTATTTCCAATTGTTTCATTACTTCCCCTCCTGTCCTTGGTTCCAGCTTCTCACTGACAGTTGGGCATATGAAAATATGGGGAGGGGATGGGGAACAGTGTATGATTAACTGCTTGCACCTTAGCGAAGTAATTCTTTTTTTTTTTTTAAAGATTTTATTTATTTATTTGACAGAGAGAGATCACAAGTAGGCAGAGAGGAAGGCAGAGAGAGGAGGAAGCAGGCTCCCCGCTGAGCAGAGAGCCCAATGCAGAGCTGGATCCCAGGACTCTGGGATCATGACGGAAGGCAGAGGCTTTAACCCACTGAGCCACCCAGGTGCCCCAGCAAAATAATTCTTAAAGGGGTTCCCAAATCAGCAGCGTCAGCAGCCCCTGGGAACTTGCTGGAAATGTAAATTATCAGACCCCACCCCAGAACTACTGAATCAGACACCCTGTGGGAGGAAAACGCTGATTTTGTGCTAGCAAGCTCTGGAATTGATTTGATGCACACTAACATTTCAGAATCACTGCCTTGGAATAATCAGACAAGGATAAACTTGACAAAACGTTAGAGATAAGGCATAATTACAGATAATAAGCATTTTTATCTGAAGAAGTAATTCTGGCCAACTTTAATTAACATGATCTATTCTTCAGATAGCTTCTATTTTCTCCTTTAATTTGGGGGAGAGATCCTAAAAGAAAGTAGAGAGGGGAGGGGAGGGAAAAGGAAAATAGTTGGGCTTTTAAACCATTAAGTTAGATCACTATTAGGCGGAAGGCCTGGGAAAAGCCCACAAAACTCTCCCTATCATGCTATTCTCCAATAATGTTTGAGCAAGTCGTATTCTTACGCAGAAGCGAGAATACGTCAAGAAAACTCCCTTGGGCATTTGCAGACACAGGCCCTTCTTCAGAGTGTTGATCTGTGTGGCTGTGGGGTTGTTACCCGGGGGGAAACATGTTCTCTGAATGCTCTACAAAAAGCAAAAAGACTTTAAAATAAATAAATAGACTCTAGCGTAGGTGATTTCTCGGATTTTGTTATTAGCGAGTCTGGGTCAGTACAGTTTCTCTGTGGACAGCCTGATAGTCAGTATTTGGGGCTTCGCAGTGCATACAGTCTCTGTCACAACTAATCAGTCTGCAATTGCTTAATTCAGCCATTGTGGACAGAAACCACCACAGAGAACATGTAAAGAGATGGGCAGGACCAGGTGTCGGACAACCTCATTTATATAAACGGGAAGTGGAGTCCATTAGCCTGAGGGCTGTAGTCTGCCTGCCCTTGACTAGACCGTAGACATTTGATTTTTAACATAAATACTTGTACAGTTTAGCTGAATAGGTAGAAAAGAGCCACTGAAGGTCATTAAGGATTCATAAAAATTGTTACCTGTGAAAACATTTCCCTGGGCCGCTGCTAAACTTAACCCTAGTCTGAACGATCCCAGCCCATTTGCACTATAAAGGCTGCTTTATTTTTTACACCTACACTCTGCATTCCTCTGCTCAGATACTATAATCTACTCCACCTGAGTTTCTGCTCCTCACGTCGCGTCCCTGGGACAGCAGTTTGTCCTGGGTCCCCTCCATGAATTTTCATGAATTTTCTGTGCCGCATCCTACCATGATATTCTTAGAACTTTAAGTCCTACGACTTAGAATGAAAGTCATTTACTTGTTAACTATATGCAATTAGATGAATTCCAGAAAACAGTCTGCTCGTAGTCCGTTTGGTGGGTGTGCACACAGACTCTTTTCTGTCGTCGTTTCTTCCTCTCTATTCTTCAACCTCTCCGATAATGATCTTCTGGCCACTGAGGAAATGAAACCCTTTCCACTGGCTCCTTAGTGAAGCCCCAAACTACATTTGGTGACTATTCTTGACTGTGCCCCCAGAAATTTCTAGAACAAAACTACAGTTTGCCCAGACAGGTTTTTAAACTGTTATTTCTTTAAAATTTCATGACATTCCAAGGACACCCTTTCTCTGCAATTATCCAAATCTTCAGTCCGTCCTCCCTCCTCGCACCCTCAATCCTAAATATCTCCACTCCATCTGGTGTCATGACTGGTACTCGACTCTGTCCCTGTCTAAACCGCTAGTTTTCTCAATCACATATCTTAAAGCCGAATATAATGGATTCCACCAATCCATCTGGACTGCGATTTTCTCTGCATTCACCCACAGTTAGGACGGAGAAAGGTTTTTTGTTTCGTTTAGTCCTGTTTTTTAACTTCAGTACATCCTAGCGCACTGAGAGAACAGACAAACAGATACCTCTTCTCGGAAACACATTTCACTTGTCTCTGCTGGGCAGCACTTCTCCACCACGTGGGCAAAACTGTCCATCACGGATCGGAACTGCATCTCTGCTGCGGATGGCTTCTGCTTCACGAGGTTGCTGAGGAGCCTGAGTCAGAAAGGAGTGGCAAAAACACAAGTACACGCTGAGTTCTAGAAGGCTAGCTTGCACACCCGCCTTACTGATTTAAATCTGGGACCACCCATGCATCTTCGTCACCCGCACTCAGACGCTTAGAAGCCCTGAAAATGCAGTGATGTGTTCACAGAGGTCACACCGCCCATCCCCATCTTCGTGTTTTACCCAACATGCTTTTCTTCCAGGACATCTCTTTTACATAATTCATACATTAAACTTAATTATTTTTATATAATTATTACTAAGGTAGAGATTTTTGTTTTCTATTTTCATGGCATTGGTTGGTAAATAGATGATATAGTAAGTTAAATCATTTTTTCCTGTATTTTGTTAGGAACATTTATGCTGAACAACCAGCTTCCAAATAAATATTGTAAGTATGACACACCTGAAAGCTGAGGGTCTTTCATGCATGATTAATGATAAACCAATAAACTAATTTCGAACTATCATGGCTTGACAATATCTCTGACATCCTTCATCGAAGAGTTCCCCCCACAACGGTAGTTTCAACCACTTTGAATATTCAAAAGTGTAACCTGGTTTTTGTCTCTCTACTTAATAAAATAGTATTCCAAATCTTCCAGTGTTATCTTTTCCCTTTCTCTCTCTTTTTCATTGTTTTAGACCAAGACAGATTTAACCAAAGAGAAAATAAGTCATGAGGGGTCGGGGAAATGTACATTAATTGGTATTTTACTGTTCAACCAAAAACCCTTGCTTATTCTTCATTTTCAAATTCATTGATAATACCCAGTGGCCTTATTTGTGCCTTGAATGGGTATAAAAGAAAATATCTCAAAACTCAAAGCAGCTATTTCTATGACAGTTTAAACCAGGGGTCTAGTAAACAATTGCAGATAGTAATTATTTTAGGCTTAGAAGTATAATGTTATAAATATATCACAAGACAGAAAACTCCAAACTCCCGTTTGCCTGGGGTGGGCTGCCCACGTGACAGGTGGCAGACACAGTTTGTGTCCAACTGCCGTCAGCTGGAGACGATGGAGAGGCGGGACCAGCCAGGGAGAGAGGAGGTACGCACTGTGGTCGGTTTCCCTCTCTGCCCCCGACATACCCTCCTCTTCTCCCAGCTGTCTCAATGTGGCCAGCTAGCCCCAGCTACTCACTGAGTCATTTGACTCCTGGACTAAGAGGCCACCACCTTTTGCTGCCCAATAGTGACCAACAGCAACATCGCCAGCATATAGGGGGCACCAGCTCAGGCACTGTGCAACTGCGAGCATGGTCACCTGAAGGAAGGCAGGCACTGGGAGCAAAGTGGGAGACATGGATCGAGCAAACTTGAACCTTTGCAGGTCTCAAGCTTAGCCCAGTCAAATAGTGCCCTCCGGACCTACAAAATCAGCCGCGCCCACAGGCCCATAGCCTGCTCTCATTAAACAAGAGAACAAGACCTCCAGTTTAATGGTAGCCCACGGGACACTCCTCTTCGAAGTTGCCATTTCAATTCCACCCTCTCCCGCTGCCCCCAACCCTCACACCCCCAGCCTGCCTTGCAGATACACAAAGCTAAAACAACAGCAGAACTAAAAATACTAGAAAAGCACATGCTAATGATTTATTTTATTTTATTTTTTAAGATTTTATTTATTTGTCAGAGAGAGAGGGCACAAGAGCAGTGGGAGCAGCAGGCTGAGGGAGAAGCAAGGAGCCCGATGTGGGACTCAGTCCCAGGACCCTGGGATCATGATCTGATTTGAAGGCAGATGCTTAACCATCTGAGCCACCCAGGCGCCCCACTAATGATTTCTTTTCAGAAACTACCTCAAAAGGAGGCTAGTTTGAAGAACACATCATCGTTGCCCCTAGGATGCCAGACAGAGCTGAAAGAAGCTAAGAGATTTTAACTACCTCCATGTTTGCCTCCTAAGTCCTAGGAATCTAGCAGGGAAAATCAGATACGGGAACAAAGATTTATGTACAAAAATGCTCATTGTCACAATGTATGCTGGTTAGAAATTGAAAACAATTTTCATGTCCAGCAATAAGAAATGGTTAAATTCATTACGGAACCCAGATGGTGGAATATTATAGAGCCATTAAAATGTGGTTTTAAAGAATAATTAGTGACCAAAATGCATACATTATAATTTTTAAAAGCTATACAAAAGAATAGTGGCAACAGCCAACATCTTTTGAGTGTACAGATATCTACTATGATCGAGACCGTGTGCTGAGAATTTATATTATCCCATGTAATACTGTCACTTACCTTTTTAATAAGGCTGTATGTCATCTCCACTTTGCATTAGTATCCGTGATTTCAGACCTCCTGGGAATATTACAGTTTGGGGCATATACAGCAAACCAGTGAGGTCAGCATCCCACCCAGAAAGCAAGAGGATTGGGAACCACTTGGGAGAACTCCTCCTGAGACCAGAAGTCACCCTCGCAGACCTCCATCCAGTAAGAAAGCTTGATCAGTGGAAGATGGGAATGATTTCATGGTTCCCCAACTGGGCCTTCGTTGGTCTCATTTCTGAGTTACACAGGATCCGCACTTTGAAAAAGTGCCGTAAGGGAACTTTCCTTGAAGTCCTGCCGACCATGGGGACACACCCAGCATTGCCCTGGGACCTGCCACAAGTGGATAATCCTGCGGGTCAGGGGGAAGAGGTGATCTTTTTTTCACGACAAAACAGAAAGCAGCTTTGTCATTTCAAGGGATGCATCCTGTAGCTGAGCAGGAGACAGCAGCAGCTGGAGGGCAGGACTGTTCCCAGGGGCCCAGGAGTGGTGCCAGGGAGAGCATGTTTGGAGAATTCCTGGGGGTGAAGGGAGTTTTCCTAAGCTCTCCCCTCAGGATTCTAGGGATAATTGCTGGAGCCAAAATTTTGTATAAGCAGCCAGTCGCAAGATTGTGCAAAACTTGTATTATTAAATATTAGACCACAGACTGATGGGCAAAGGGCAATTGTGGGAGCGTGTGCTTGTATGTGTATGTGACATATATTCTTATACTACATGTATGTTTATACTGGGCAGCTCTGCAGTGTTGGAATAAAAGTATTGTGATTTTCTTCTCTCTTCTGTATTTTCTAAATTTTTTTGCAATGATTATGCATTACTTTAATAGTAACAGAAATCAATATTTTAAAAAGAAAGAATAGTATAAACATTATTTTTTCTCTCCTACTGTTCTGTAGTTAGTCTTCTAATTAGACCTAAACTTGATCCCACTTGAAAGGAAATGCTGTACTTGTTTTTAAGTGTGTCTACGTAATTTAAGTCTGTATGGTTAGATATATCCTCAAACCAGTTTCCACTACCTTTGAATAATCATTATCAGTTTTTAGGAAATTACTTAGTAAAAGTGAGAAATACAGGCTATTTCCCACTGGAATTTGATGGAATTTGTCTTAGAATGCATTTTCCTGCAAAAACAATATTAATCATGATGCTGAAATTCACTGACTCGTCATGAGAGCATAGGCTTGCAGAAGTCCCAGGTAATAGAAACTACCAGTCATGGGTACCTACACTGTGGAAATACCCCATCTCCAAACATGCAGTTAGGGCTTCTATGGTCTGGCTTAGGGCATTCAGCATGAAAAGGGCAGGAGCTGGTGTAGGAAGGAGACAGAGTTTACTACTGGTTCATGCAAAATCTGGACTCCTCTTTCCTTCTGATGTCATAAAAAGGGCACAAACCTTGAAGTCTAACTTTGGTTCAACTAGGTAGTGTATGGTGAGCAAGATACTTAACCTCTCTGACTTTAATCTATAAAAAGAAAATTTGAACACTTACATTGCAAGGCATTTGTAAGGGCCCAAAAATAATGCATTAAAGGGCTGAGTATAGTAAGTGGCTTACTTCAGGCAGTAAATAATGGCAAAGATAATAGTAATGATCAATAACTGTAATAATAATAGCACATCTTGCTTCCATTTCAAATTACCAGTTTCTTCCAACCATGGTCTCCTCTTCCCTGATTCTCACAATAAATAGTACATTGTCATGGCTCCTCTCCTGTTCATTCATTTATTCCATTCAGAAAAAGACTGATGAGCATCTTTACAATTTCCCTGAGGATCCGAGCTATAGATCCAATAGTAATAGAGAAACTTAATGAAAGAGCCAGGAAAGTTCCCTTGTCTATGCCCTCCTCTTCTCTCACTTATAAGCTGTGGGGTCCAAGTGCTGTCATGGTTCCGCCCCTCCCAAACCCTCTAGTCTCACCCCAAAAGTTTATTTTCCTTCTCTCACTTATGCTTTGGTCACACTGGACCACTCTGCTTTCTGCTTTCCCCCGCTGGGTGGGCTGGTTTCCAAATGCACTTCCTCAGAGGGACCAGTAGGGGGAAGACCAGCAAGGCTGCTGGGTTTCCAGAACACCAGCCAGCAGCTGCTGATTTGAAACCAGGAGAAACATCCAAATTGTACTGGAATAAGGATGGGTGAAGAATTTCCCTTTATGAGAAGACAGAAGTTCTGGAAATGAGATTCAGAGCAGGGGTATCAGGAGGTCATGTTATCCCTCCTTGGAACTCCAGACGTAAAGGCAGTCATTTCTACACCTGAGGATTCTCTCTGTGCCTCTTAGAAGCTTGACTCCCTCCCCCTAAAAACTGTGGAACACTTGTGATCTGCTTGCAGTTGATTTCCCTCCCCTGCCCATTTCCTCCTTCTCCCACCCTGATCTCTCTACTTACCAACCTGATAGCTGTTATTCAAAAATAGTTCCCTTAATTCGTTCCCTTAATAGTTCCCTTAATTTTTCAGCTTGGAATTTTTAATTTACCTTTTTAAATCTTAAATCCTATTTTTAATTCAGTACCACCAATTTTTTTTCAGTTTTTCGCTTCTATGATATTAATATTTTATTGTCATTAAATATGCCCACCATTTCATTTAAAGTACATTCTGGTCTTTATATACTCTCTCAAATCTTCACATTTCAATTCAATATTTTTAATTGGATTTTAAGTTTTTTTACTTTGAGCTTCTGTTTCCTTTCGATTGTTTCTATCTTATTACATAATATCAACTTCTACCTTCTCTTCTACCTTGCTCAATTTTTACTTTCCCCTCCAGAAGCCCCTTCACTGTTTTTTTTGTTTGTTTGCTTGTTTTTACATTTATGCTGTGATAGTCAGCCCGAATTATAAAGGGATGAAAGCCATAGAGAGCCCTTGCCACTATCCCAGGAAGTAAGAGGGCTTTTTTCCAATTTGACTCTTGATTCCCAATATACATTCTCCCAGAATAGTCCAGAAATCTCTACATTAAGTGTTTCTATGCTACTGTTTTCTCCATACAGAGAACACAGTGAATTCACTAGAACAGGGATGATTCCTAATATTTCATACTTTTTATTATCTAGCCCTTATCTAAGAGCTCAGTGTTTTGTTTTATTTTATTTTATTTGCTTATTTCACTTTATTTTATTTTTTGAGAGGGAGAGAGAAAGTGCAAGTGTGCATAGGAGGGGAGGAGCAGAGGAAGAGGGAGAGAGCAGGAGACAGGGAATCTTAAGCAGGCTCCACACCCAGCACAGAGCCCGACTGGGGACTTGAACTCATAATCCTGAAATCATGACATGAGCTGAAACACTTAACCAACTGAGCCATCCAGGCACCCCAAGAACTCAGTGTTTTAAAAACCAGTATTATAACCCCTTGATTAGGGTGCACTAAAAGCTATATGTTGGTAAAGGTATGTTCTTTGAGCCAGATAGTTTGGGTGAATTTTTCAGCTCAACAACCTATTTACCTGTTGCTTGATCTCATACCAATCTTCTTGTCCCTTACAGTTAAAATGGCATATAATGTTATCTGCCTCATATATTTGTGGTAAGGATTTGGTGAGATGCCATACAAAATGCAGTGCCTATCTATGCCCGGAGAGCTTCCTCAAGAGAAGACAAGCATGCACGCTAGGAGTGACAGAGACCTCGTTCTCCTACGTTCTCAAGTCCAGCCTGAGCAAACAAAAGAATGGCTAACTGAACATTACAGTGGTCTTCAGGTGTTGACTGGAAGTGTTCAAGTCTTGTTTGAGATTGGCTCACCTTGGCAACTGCAGAAAGGATTCCAAGGGTCAGCTGGCTTAAGAATTGCAAGTGGTGTGATTAAACAGAACAAGCACCAGCTTGTGCTTGCTGCCTGTGAGTATGTGTGCAATCCAGAGACAACAAAAATTTTGCCTCACTTGACAAGATGATATTGCTGGACTCTTACATTTAGACCTTGCAAGTGCCTGTGTTAGAGTAAATCAATGAATTGGAAATACAGTAAGCTACCACTTCTAATGATCTTGGGGGAGAAGGAGCAATGAGGACGAGGGCTCCCTTGTTTGCTCCTGAGGACAGGAACAGGGGCACTAGAAGGAAACTTCCGCCCCACCTCAGGGGGCCCTAGTGCTGCTAATTCAGGGAAACCAGAATTTCACCCTTTGGCTTTTCCTAGAATGGTCACCTTTGGTCATTGCCAAATGGGGCCTTTGACAGCACACTTACCAGAAGCAGAATTTTATTCTAGGGGGAAATGTCTGGGCCATGGGGGTATCTTGGCTCCCGGCTCAGGAATAGAAGGTGGGCAAAGAGATGGATGATTAATACCGCTAAGAAGGCAATTCTTTGTCTACAGCAGCAAACAAGGAGTCTCTTTTCTAAGAGCTGACAGTAAGTGTTCCATTCGATCCGCCTAAGCAAGAGTGGGGAGAATTGGGGAAAATGCCAACCACCTATGAGATCTTAATCAGCTTATGCTCTCAGAGGCAAAGGGAGGGTCGGCTGCTCTGAAGTCATGTGCACTGAAGCGTACTTCCAAAACCAAAGCCATGACCCTCAGTCACCTTAGCAGCGGTCCAGTCAGAAATCTGATCTCCCAGGTCACCCCTCGTCATGCTGAGGTTTCTACACCCCTGATCAGATACATCTCCTGCTTTCCTGGTCCTCTGTCTCCTTTGTCACTTGAGGCTTTCTCAAGAAAACGTCCCTCTCTCCACAGCTTCTCTTTGGAACTTCTCGGTCTTGCTCTATACAAAAACATGAGGCTCTCCAGAGGACACTGCTTCCCCCAAGACCTTTCAAGAGAAGGCTATTTTTGCTTGAACTCCATCTACCTTAGTATCTAGGTCTCTTTTACTTTCAACATATCTCTTCTTCATGCTCTTTGAAAAGCCGTTGCTCCTCTGAAGTACACATTATCAAGCTCTAACATCCCTCATCCCTACTTATTCCTGCCCCATATAGAAAATCTGGTCATTCTCCCTCATTTTTGATGACTTGAGACCCAGCATATCACCTCACTTTCCACCATTATCTTGACATTTATCATTTTCCATAGTTTCAACAACACTAATGATCCACAGGTAGCAGATCGATTACCAAAATAGACCAGTTATCCATCTTTCTCTGTATTCATGTCCTTTGCAATGTGATGTTCCAACTCTTCCCATCAAGAAATGAAGTCTATTTCCATACCCTATTTTCATTTGGGCTGACCCTATGACCTACCTTACAGAAGCAGTGATATTGTGTGGTTCCAAACCTGGGCCTCACGAGGCCTCCATACATCTACCTTCTCCCAGCTACCACAAGCAGAAGCCTGGGTTAACCTGCCAGAGGATGGAAGGCCACATGCAGCAGAGACAAGCCATCCTAGCCAAGGCCAGCCTCAAGCCAGCCAGCTCCCAGCTAACTTAGCAGCTGACCATACGCTTTTGAGCAAGCTCAGCAGAGAATGGCTGGGGCTGGCCCAGGTCAACACTCATCCAGTCAACCCACAGGCTCCATTGCTGACTTCATCCAGAAGCCCTTTTTACATAGAACACATGTTGCATATGTATATACATATACATCTAAATATACGTTTATAGACATTGTATTCTACTGGCAATATTTCTGACCAATAGTCTAAAGTATTAGAAACAGCAACCAAATCAGAATAACACTTTGCAAAGTAATAACTTCTAATCATAAAATTTTCTAAGTTATAAATGTTTTCATAGTTTTCATATGCACTACATATGTATATCTCACACACACAGCCACACACATGCTCCAAATTTCCCTTGTTAGGAAAAATACATTAATGTACTTCTCTGTCAATATTTTCTGATCAGTAGGCTTCAGTCTCACTAACTGAGTTCATTGGGGTAACAACCACGATAGCCATACTGCAAAACTGCAGAATATTTTCAGTTCTAACCGACCTCTAGTGTAACACTGAGCAGATCCATTTATTCTGCAGTATTTTACCTGAGCCCACTTTACTGTTCTCTATACCTGCTCCCTTGCGGGCAGAACAAAGTAAAGAGCAAATTAAACAAGGATTCTTACTTCTGTTTTTCAGTTTGGAACTCCTCCTGAGTTTTGCACAAGTTCTCTTTAAGGCTGATGACTTGGTCACAGGATAAAGGTGGAGAAATGTAAGTCCCATCGACTCGCAGATCATCAAAGCACGGCTTCCTGAAGGCATAGGAGTCATCACAGCAGTGGCCCACACCAGCATTGATAGGCTCTGCCTCATGTCTTCTGCATAAAGCTCCAAGAATTAGTTTTGTCTTTCCCAGAAGAGAATTAAAATAAGAGCCATAAGGTTTTGGTTATATATATATATAAAAAACCATATATATATAAATACATACATATATATATATATGTGTGTATATATACATATATATATATACACACATATATATAATTTTTTTTTTACTCCATAGAAAATAAGACTCATAAATATTCTCAAATTCTGGTTTCTGCTAGTTTGGTCTGGATTTCACTGTTTGGGAAAAAGCAGGAGTGTCAGATGCAGCCTGGTTCCCAGACTTGTCCTCCCTTTCCCCCCATTCTCAAGTTGAGTTCACTTGTACTGCACCTCCAGGTTCCTTCCCATTCTAGTTTGTAGACTAGTGTTGACTTAAGGTAGGAGTTTCTTATGCAGTTTTAAATTAAAATCAAGCCTCAAGTCAACAGCACTGCAACTTTGACTCAGATGTATAACTGATGAGTGGAGCTCTTACTTAAGAAATTCAAGTCCAATTTGTTTCTATTTTTATAACTGGGCAACTGTAACGACCACAGAACTTGGCATATGGTAGATGCTCTATGAATATTTATTGAATGAATAACTGATGATGAGAGAAATTCTTGGATCCTATTTCAGTTACCTCCTTCATTTCCTTGTCCTCTTCTAGAACTGTCACTTTGCCTTGCTCCTTGTGTGTCTGATTCTTATCCTGATGTTGTCTGCATGCCTGCCTTTCCAAGTATGACTCCCCAAACTCCCAATCATTTATGTATTTGGGAATGAAGTAATTGAAGCCAGTAAGCATCAACATTTCATGTATGAGTTTTTCTATTTTAAATGTAACCAAAGAGATCACCTAAAAATAAGGCTTTAGAAACAATGTAAGTCTAATTGAAAGAGTTTCCCAAGGAAGACATCACTAGATAATAAAAACTTATAATAAAATAAAAGTTAGGGTTAGATAATACATTTTTTTTAAATCTGCAATCAAAAAAATTGTATTTTATCAGAAGAAGGACCAATTTAGCATAAACAAGATGTTCTGTCAAGAACAGAGGTTAGAAAAGCTGTCACCAAATAAGAATTCCATAGTGTTAAACTAATATCACTTGAGAGAGACCTAAAGAGTACATCTTGGAGACTTGAGCATATAGGTCCCTAGAGGGATGTTCTTCCTTGTGAGGAAGACATAATTTCTCATCCCACAGGATAGCCTGGAAGAAATATCCCTTAAGACCATCCCTTCCCTTCTTCTGATTCTACTAATACAACTACCCATATTTTCATTCAACTTCCTAAGTATTTTGATTCAAGAAAAAGTGTAGTCCATTTATTAGGACCAATTATTGGGAAGACATTTCTCATTGTAAATGAACATTGGAAAGACATTTCTCATTGTAAATGAACACACAGGTGGTATTCTGTCTAATAAATTTAGAACTTGTGAGTTTGACATGAGATAATAAAAAATATAAATATTTGATCTTTGACCCCAGTTCCTGGCAAAGTTCTTCTGAAACCCTTGTAAATTCTTAAGTGATAAGAGAACTAGGAGCATCTTTTGTTCTAATAAGGAGACTCTAGGTGGACTTCTGGATGGGGGCTGGTTCTCGGAAAGACCAAGCCATGATTAGGAGGTCAAAATTTCAGCCCCACCCCACCACCCATTCTCCAGAGAGGGGAGATGGGCTGGGAATGAGTTAATAATTGATCATGTATACATAAGGAAACTTTTCAAAATCCCAATAGTATGGGGTTTGGAGAGCTCCCAGGTGAGTAAACCCATCCACATACAAAGAGGGTAACACATCCCAGTTCCACAGGAACAGAAGCCTCTGAACTCAGGACACTCCCAGACTTTACCTTATGTATCTCCTCATTTGGAAGTTCACCTATTTCCTTTATCAAATGTTTTACCTATCTGGTAAACTTAGGTAAATGTTCTTCTGTGTTCTGTGAGCTGTTCTAACAAATTAATCAAACCTGAGGAGGAGATCCTGGGAACCTTAGATTTATAGCTGGTCAGTCAGAATCATAGGGGACAACCTGGACTTGCAATTGTTATCTGAAGTGGGATGGGAGCAGTCTTGTAGGACTGGTCCCTTAACCTGTGGGATCTGATGCTATCTCCAGATAGACACTGTCAGAATGAGTTAAGTTATAGGACATCTAGCTGGCATCAAAAGAAATTGCTTCTTCTATGGAAAAACATTTAGTGTTAGAGGTATGGTGACTGTTGTCTTTTTTTCCTACACATTTGATTAGGATGACTTAGTCTAAAATCAGCATTATCTTTGAAGTTGTTGACAAAGTCATTTTTGTTGGCTTGAAAATCCAAGAGTTAGACCCTGGAGTATGATCCAGGTAAAGACTTGTTGAATCTGACATCACCACCCTTAGGGAAGTAACAGTCTTACTTCTGCTGCTAATCAAGACAATTGGCATGAGCTGGCCTAAAAGAAGTTTTCCTGGGGACAGAAATATTAAGCTCCATTGACAGTTCATAGTTGTGTACATGAACCTGAGATTGATTGCTGGAGGCTGGAGATTAGGACCATGAAGGGGCAAACATGAAGTCAAGATGGACTTACCGAGTCCTCCATGCAGGCAAATCGTTGCTCATCTCTTAGTGGGCAACATTTGGTGGCAGCGGCTGCCATGTTCTTTGTGAACATAACCAACTCTTGAGCAGATAGTTGTGGGGCTTTCTTAGTATAAAGGATTATGAGCCTGAAAGAATAATTTCCTCTTACTCCTGGCAATGACCATGTTCCTCAAATGAAGAATTCTAGAGTTTCCTCAATATTTGACAATCTCTAGCTTAGGCTGAACAAAACATTAAACAGGGTTTAATTCCTGTTAGTCCTTGTTCCAATGGCCCAATAACTTTCTCAATAAACCTAGAATTCTTTTCACACCTTCCTCACAAATTACTCCATACTGATCCTTTGTGGGGTGTGGTGGTGGGTGCTTAGCAAGGAAACTATAAGAGCTACACTATAAGAGCTAACAAAATCAGACTTAGTAAACAGCTTCTGAAATAAATGTATACACAGGCCATTACAGCTTATGTTGATTGTCTACAGGTGTAGGAATAGGGGGACAGCAATAATCAGCAAACACACCCCAATATCATAGGGCTCACACCCTAATGAGTGAGATAGTGGGAATACTTAATGTAGTGACAGGAATTCGTAGTGCAGTAGGTGCACAGAAAATGGCATCTAATCCTATCCCAGAGAGGTCAGGCACACCTCCTAAAGGAAATGGTATGTGGGCTGTGAGCTAACAATAACAAAAAAAAAAGCCAGGTGAAGGGGAGTGAAAGTGGGAGGGGAGCCATTGCATGTGATTGTAGTTTTGTTTCGTGGAGTTTTTTTTGGCGTGGGGAGGGTATTGGGGATTGGAGACAGAAAGAGGAAGAAAGCTTAGTTAGAGAATCAGATTTGCTTTGTTTTTAGGATAATTATGGTTGCCATATAAAGAATGAATGAAGGTGGGCAAGAAGCAACATGACGTAAGAAGAAGTTGAGGGCTATTCCAGAAGTCCAGGCAAGAGACAGTGATAGCCTCAACTAGGAGAATAGTGGTGGCAATAGAGGGATATGAGGGAGATTTTAAGGAGAAAGACTACTGGATTTGAAGACAACAAAAAATTAGAATCAATCATTGCTTTTATATTATAATGGAGTTGGGGAAAGAACTTAGCTGTAACATCCAATGAGCAGGCAACCTAATCCAGCGGGTCTAGTATGTGACTCATGGACCAGCAATTATCAGCAGCCTTGGGTACTTGTTAGAAATGCAAATTTTCAGGCCTCATCTCAGACTTAGGGAATGAGAAACTCTGGGGATGACGCTGTGTTTTAATGAGTCCTCCAAGTAATTTTGATATACTATACCCTAAATTTTGAGAACCATGATCTAATCCTTAAACTAGACATTAGCAAATGAACACAATATAGAAATAATAAGCCAAGTATTCTTTTTGAAAAAATATTTTTTTCTGGATCCATTATTTTGGACAGTAATTTAATTTAATTTAATTTAATTAATTAATTTATTTATTGCTTTAAAATATCACTTTAATTCCTGCACAATTTTTGCGTTAGTTTGGATAGATGATATTTTGTAACAATAACAAAAAAAGCAACTTTGTTGCATGGCTTCAAAACACAATGGCTTATTTCTTGTTCAATCCATATGCCCAGTGCAATTTGGCATGGTGGTTCTGTTTATCTGGAACCAAGACAGATAGATCAGCTACCATCTCAAATGTATCTGACTGTTGTGTCTGAAGGAAAAGAGAAAATAGGAAAGCATGCATTGGTTGTTAAAGCTTCTGCCCCCAAAGTTTTCACATTTTATTAGCCAAGTCAAGTCACATGGTGTGACATCCATATAAAATATTTTGCAGATCCTCCAATGAAGAAAGAGATTGAGTCTATTTCTCTACCTCTTGACTCAGCTTGGCCATATGACTTACTTTGCCTAATGGGACAGTAGCAAATGTGATGTAAGTAGAGGCTTAAAACTGGCCATCCATTTCAAGCTGAATTTATGGGACACTATATCAAACTGATTTTTTCCTCAATGCTCTACTTCTAAATAGACAGAAAGACACCAAAGAGCCTAAAAATTGACTTTTGGTTTTTCATATAGTGATCTTTGAAATACCAGTCTCCTTGCACACAAGAGGTTTGCATGTTCTCTCTGGCAGACAGCTATATGCATCTCTACCTTCCCTGGTTAAAAAAAAAAAAAAAAAAAAACTAACTATATGACCTAACTTGACGCTGACAAAGGGACCCGACAATTGCAGGCAAAGCTCCAAACTAAATATCCAGGTGGAGGTGAGAAGATCCCGAAGAGACTGCAGGAAGGCAGCCAGGGTCTGCTTGGTTCACCAGCTTCTGAACATTGGCCAGAATTGGGAAACTGGCCTGGAAAGTCATGTAGAAACACCTAAGGCCATGGGGACATCTGTATTATCAAGACAAAGATAGCTAGGTTAATTCTGTTTCTTCTCTTGCCCTCTGAGGTTTCAAGGTTGGATGTACACTCTTAGTAGCTCTCAGCATCAGGAGTTAACACAAACTCACTAACAAGTATGAATCTGGACAATTGGAAGCCTACCTGTCATGGAAGTCAGCCTCTCCCAATTTCTCATGCAAATCACAGTGATGTTTTACACGCTCATGGCTTTCACGAACCACTCTTTGGAACATCTCTTGCTGGAAAATAAAGATAATCAATGTTAATCACTGTAACAATATATCTTGAGGTAAGATTGCAAAACCCTGATAATTTAATGTAACCGTTTTCCTAAACCCAGGGCTTTATTTACTTAGTGAGCTTGCAAATCTTGAAAAACATGTTCTGGTAAAACAGGAATGGCCATGCACTTTGTGGAGAAAAGAAGTGGTACAACAAGACTGATACTTAGTTTCTGGTGATATAAACTCATTTGTGGGTTGATATGGTGTATTTTATAAGCATAAGGCAAATCATTCATCAAGCCAAAGAGATCTTTAAAGGTAGTTTACAGATCTAAGTTTGATTGGTCAGAGTGTGTTGGCTATATTTAATAATACAGCCTTTTTACATAAGCAGCACAGATACATAGATAAGATATTGGCATAGAAATATAGATATGTATTAAGAAGTCACGGTTTAATAAAAACATGTGGCAGCCTTTAATATAGTAAAGTACTCCACAAATACACATTGAAGCGAAACAAATGGAATTCTCAGAGCTAACTGCTAGTTCAAAGAGTTCTTCAACTGTGTACATAAAATTCCAGTGGGAAAATACAAGTGACCTTTCAGGCTTAGTTTTTCAGTAGGAAGACAGGTTATCATCTTAACTAATCTGACCCAGTGTACTTGATCTTACTGAGCAGTGTTTGTTACAGTGAAAATTTTACCAGATTTGCAAACTGTTTGCCTAGATTTAGCCCTTAGCCTTGTCCTCACTGTCTGTGTGAAGTTGGGCAAGTCTTTTAAACCTTAACTGAATACTCTCACCTATAAGATGCAGTTAATAATTCTGGCATGGCCTATGTTACTGTGCTGGTGTGACAATCAAATAGGACACTAGTTGTAAAGCTGCTTTGTGAACTCGAAACATCCATGCTCCTGTAAGGTGCTATTATCATGATGATTATTGTGGGGGTCTAGTGGGGATGCTGCAAAGGGGTGCTCAGCCACAGGGGAACAAATTACCTTCACTGCTCCTTCTTTCTGGGAACAAAAAGGTGATAGATGTATGTGCTTGAGCCCAGACAGGACTGGGCTCTACCTGTACCACTACCTCACCCTCTGTAAATGTGTAAGCCTTCTAAGAAGCCAGAACCACCTGGTTCCTGGTAATCCATGGATAAGTGATCATCGGGTCAGGGACATAAGGTCACCTGCTTTTTCCATGTCACATGCACCAACAGCTGCTGCCTGTGAACAGTATGACTTCTGGCCTGAGACCCAGACAGTTTCCAGGACTGCTGAGTGGAAATAGTCAACCTTCTCATACCGTAATATGCTGTGTTTGCCTGCCATTTGCTTCGGTGCCCAGTGGACACTCATTAAAAGAGAAGATTGCACAGAGAAGGTTTCATGAAGCATTGAATCTGTAAGACAGTGACTCACATAGAAAGCTGCTGCGGTGTGATGACGTGGCCTTCAGTTTAGATGAAAATCATATTTGTTGTGCCGCATGGTGATTAGCAAGAAGATGCACAATCATTTTATATAAAATATGGCACTACCAACATCTCTGGAATTTTTCCTATGTTGGTAATCACTTACGGATAACAAGTTAAAAAATAAAAAGGCATTTACCCCACGGCGATAGCATTCCAGAGGATTTTCTAGTTTACAGCAATTTGCCAATAAATTTTGATAGACCATATCCACTCTTAAAATCACAGGAACTGCCAATTCTGAGTGTCTTCTTGAATATTCATAAAGAAACCTGTATCCATCCATATGAAACATATTAGAAAGTTAACAGTAAAATTCAGAAGTCATGAATTTTCTTTCAGAACCCACTTATGACTATGAAATTTATTCAATATTTTCACTGATTTTTAGACATTTGGAAACTTGGGGAGGATGGCAGGGAGGTTTAATTGACTACATTTAGAGGTAAGGAAATAGAATCAATAAAATTACTTGATTTTTCCAAAGTCTCACAGGAGTGGGGTCAGATTCAGAACTTGAAACTAAGACAATCTGATTAGCTGATAGTTTCTGGTTCAGGGTCACTAACTTACTTTTATGAGAAATTAATTTCCAGTGTTTAGATGAGAGCACATTTTTCTCAATCACCTTGGAGGCTAGATTTTATAAGTATTGGAATTTTTTTTGATAGAAAGTGCTAGCTAGGTCTTAAATCATCATCTTCCCCTCTTTTCCAGCTAAACGTTGAAGCTTGAGTGGTTCAAGCATAATGTACACATTCTTCTGGGTCACAAGAAAGAGAATTTGGACCCTCGAATGTTTACAAAGGAATCACAGAGTAGCAGGAGGCACCTTCCAAGTGATCTTATCCAACCCCTCAGTTAGTAGCTGGAACACAAGAGCCTAAGGAAATTAAGTGGCTTGACCTACATTCCAAAGTTTATGCATGACAAAGCTAGTCTTTCGAACTCTGGTCTCCCAACTAATAGCTTAATGTGATTTCCACCCGGAAGTTGTGCCTATCAACTTTTCCAGTACCAAATGCAAGTTGAGGAATGAGTGGGTTCAGGCAGTCACATTTACTTTCATAAGCCATATCAAATGTACTTTCAGAATATAGCTCAAGTTATTCTACAAAGAGCTTTGGAGAAAACTCAAATTCTTTTGCTTCGCTGGAGTTTAATTGCTCCAAATAAGGCTTCACAAAGTGACTTTGGAAATACTTCAATCACACAGAAATATTGTTTTAATATTGCATATTGAAATCAGTTTGTCTTGCACAAGTTAATATGCATTTTGGAATGGACACCTGAGGTGTTAATATTCCATCAATCTAATCTTTAAGTGCTACACCACGGTTTGGTAATAGGTATTAAATTAATTAGAATAGAAGCGCTCACCAGGTCTACCAATCTGAAGCCCTCCTTAGGGATGAATACCTTGGAGCAAAGTTTGCAAACACTTGATCCTCACTGTGTTTTTAAAAATTCTGTATTAGTTGTCAACACTTAAAAATCAAGCAGCTTCCAGCTTCTTTCAAAATGCAGTAGAGCCGCGCACGTGGGTGGCTCAGTTGGTTAAGCAACTGCCTTAAGCTCAGGTCATGATCCCGGAGTCCTGGGATCGAGTCCCACATTGGGCTCCCAGCTCTAAGGTGAGTCTGCTTCACCCTCTGACCTCCCCTTTCATGCTCTCTCTTACTGTCTCTCTCTCAAATAAATAAATAAAATCTTAAAAAAAAATGCAGTAGACCCTACGACCCAGTAATTGCACTACTAAGTATTTACTCCAAGCATACAAACATAGTTACCCGAAGGGGAACCTGTACCCCAATGTTTACAGCATCAATGTCCACAATAGCCAAACTGTGGAAAGAGCCCAGCTGTCCATCAACAGATGAATGGATATATATGTGATACACACACACACACACACACACACACACACACAGTCAAATACTACTTGCCATTTGCAACAACATGGATGGAACTAGCGGGTATTATTCTAAGCGAAATAAGTCAATCAGAGAAAGACAATTATCATATGATCTCATTCCTATGTGGAATTTAAGAAAAAAAAACAGAGGATCATAGGAGAAGGGAAAGAAAAATAATCTCTAAGATGAAATCAGAAAGGGAGACAAACCTTAAGAGACTCCTGATCATACGAAACACACTGAGGGTTGCTGGAGGGGAGGGGAGTGGGGGGATGGGTTAGGTGGGTGAGGGACATTAAGGAGGACACATGATGTGATGAGCACTGGGTGTTATAGAAGACTGATGAATCATTGACCTCTACCTCTGAAACTAATAGTACATTTATATGTTAATTAATTGAATTTAAATTTAAAAATAAAATAAAATAAAAACGCAGTAGACCCAACCAGCCCAAGCCTGCATTCCCATATGCTAACCAGCGGCTGGGGCAGTGTAAGTAGGTTCGACTCCACCAAGCATCTCCTCTTGAACAATTTGAGTCACCATTTACATTATGGGCTAGCCTCTGTCATCATTCAAGTCTACAACCCTTCCCCCAAATCCATAAATATAGTATTCCATTGTGAAGACTTTACAAAAATCTGTATTACTCTTGCAGGAAATCATCTGGCTCGTGGGAGAATTGTTCACACACAGATCGGTCTTCTGTAAATCTGCCGAGTGGCAAGGATGCAAGATGAGGCTTCTGCTCGTTTTCTGAGCTGATCACGCACTCCCCTCGGAATGGCGCCGGCTGTGCACAGCACGGACTGATTTTGCTGGAGAGGCTCAGCTGTTTGGAGCAGGTATAGTTCATAAGCTGGCTCTACAAAACATCAAAAAGAGTTTGGTGTTTGATGACTTCATTCTGAACTTGTTTATTTTTCTTGTTACTACCAGAAAACCAGAGAAAAACTTGACATCTTCTATCGCTTTATCTTTGGGAAACTGAGTGAGAGACCAAAAACGTCATGTATCTAGTGACTCGCTCTAATAAAGAAGGCTTCTCTATTTGACCTCACTCAAGGGTCACAAGCTCCTTTCTCATCTCTTAAGGAACTGAAGGGGAGACAGACTATAGTATTGTTTCCATGGTTAGCCCCACAAGATATAATGCAGTTTTATTGCCTGCTATTATTGTTACTGTTTTAGGATTCCAGTGTGGAAAACATTTTTTCTCTGCCATTTACCACATAGATTGCTATGATATTACTATTATGCTTACATATTTAACATATTTACTTATACACACATACACAAATAATTACATGTATGTGAAAAACTTAATCTCTACACTTAAGAAACTCACAATCTAATTGGAGAATAAAATAATTAACGATTGCAATGCAGTATAACAGAAGCTGTAAGAAAAGTTGTAGGAGAAGTGCATATGTAATACTTTGAAAGAAAAAAGATTGGCAATCCAGGGTGGCTGGAGGTCGGAGTGAAGATGTTAAACAGTTTAGTCCTGAAGGACAAATAAAAGTTACTTGGAAACTAATGAAGAAGAACATTCCAAAATTATTCATCTTTATATATAAGAAAATCCTGGAAGTGAGATTATATGATGTATTTGAGGAAATGGTATATAGGATATTTGGGGGTTACTGAGAAACTGTAGTTGAGAAATGATGGATGGGGCTTACTCTGGAAAACAGTGTGGAGCTTCTTCAGAAAGTTAAAAATAGCACCACCCTACCATCTGGCAAGTGCACTTCTATGTATTTACCCAAAGAATACAAATATACTAACTCGAAGGGGCTCATGCACCCCAACATTCACAGTAGCATTATTTACTACAGCCGAACTGTGGAAGCAGCCCAGTGTCCACTGACTGATGAATGGCTAAAAAGGAGGTGGTATATATGCAACAGAATATTACTCAGTCATCAAAAGAATGAAATCTTGTCATTTGTAACGACATGGATGGAGCTAGAGGGTATTATGCTAAAAGAAATTAGTCAGTCAGAGAAAGACAAGGACCACATGATTTCACTCATGTGTGGAATTTAAGAAATGAAACAGATAAACAGAGGCGGGGGAAAGAGAGGCAAACCATAAAACAAACTTCATTTTGAGGGTTGATGGAAGGGAGATGGGTGGAGAATGGGCTAGGAGGGTGATGGGTTATTAAAGAAGGCACTTGTGATGAGCGTAAGTCATGAACCACTGAATTCTACTCCTGAAACCGAAGGCCATTCATCTCAGAGTATATGTGTAAAATAAAAAAGGAAAAGGCCAAGAACAGATCAATTGGGAATATCAATTTTTAAAGGGTAGTAGAAGACGGGAAGAAAGTTGATGAAAGAAATTGTGAGAATACAGATATCCTGGTAAATGAAAAACTTCTCCCACCACTATCGTCTTCTAGACACACCTTTGCCATCATCACTGGAAAAATAAATGAGTGCAGTGGTTGACAGCTTTGGCTCTGAAGTCAGACTTCCTGAGTTCTAATCTTGACTTTGCTACTTCCCACCTTTGTGACCTAGGCAAGATGCTTTGTCTCTTGATGCCTCGATTTTCCTCATCAATAACATGGGGTTAAAGTAATACTTCCTAAGGTTGTGGGAACAAAGCATATTAATAATTATTAGGAACAAAGAAAAGAGCCTGGCCCAGCTTAAGTACTATAAAAGTATTTCTTGAATAAAAGTGAAATGCTTAGAATTAGTGGCTGACATATAGAAATCATTTTCAAGTTTTGTACTATAACAATTATTATACAACCCCAGAATGTTGGTCTAATAGTGTCTTGAAGTAAAAAAAAAGAGAACCCTACAACATAAAATTGAATGATGTTGACTGAGTGATATAACAGACTGATAAGCCCTATTAATTTGCACATTTGGTATTAAAAATTGACATGTATTATAAAGATTGTGTGCTTCTTGAATTGGGTGTGATATTGTGAAGCCTCACATGGAATGATATAAGCACTGATAAGCGTTTAGGAAACTTTCCAGGACACACCATTCAAAGGCATATCATCCATACACCATTCCTAAAAGCATTAGGAGGAATACTCTAATAATAAGAGAATTAAACCAATATGAAAAATAAGCAGTAGAAAGGATGCGCTTCTCATGATGAGCACTGAGCAATGCACAGAACTGCTGCATCAGTACATTGAACAGCTGAAACTGACATAACACTATGTTAACGATACAGGAATTAAAACTTTTTTAATGAATAAATAAATAAATAGTAGGATACAGTGTATTAAAGAAATGATAGTTCAACTGAAACCATTCTGGTTAACAATGTTATTTAAAAAGAGATAGTACGAAAAACTAAGAAGTCAACCCAAACAACTAAAAGAAAACAGCTGAACAGAAAGCATGAACAATAATGGAAATTTACAATTATAATATAAATGACTGGGAATGTTTTAGTCCTTGTGTTGGGTATCAAATTCATGGATGCCCACTAAACAATGATGTTTATAACAACACAAAAAAAAACAGTTAAACAAACCCGAGAGAACTAATAAAATTAAAAGTAGAAACCTAGTATTAATAAATTAATAAATCAATATTAATATTTATTTATTAATAAATTAATAAATAAATCCAAGAACTTTGCCTTGGAGAAGACCAAGACATTAAATAGCATCTTTCCAAGGCTAATTAAATAAAGGAGAATATGCAAATACAAGGAGAAAAAGAAGCATAATTACATACTTTATGTTTTTAATTATCAAATAATAATATTATTATTTAGAACTCAATACCTAAATGAGAAAATGCTGAAAAAGGAGACTTTATTTAAAAAATGTGTATTATAAAATCTGACCAAAAAATGGTGCAGCTGATGCTCATTAGTCACAATAGTTATAAATTCACTGAATTTGTGAATACTGACTCTTCAGCCCTAGGGGAATCCAGGATTAGTTCCTTGCAAGTTTCTGGTCACATTTGTGTCATCAACAGATCAAGACCTAACCTTGTGCTATATGTGTTTCTTTTTAAAGACCCCTTATTTAATATATATTATTGATTTATTAATGTTGAACTAATACGTCTAACACATTATTTTCTCCATAAAGCATATCATGGCTTTTCTGTGTTTAGGAACCCCAGAAAGCACCCTAGGACTATGCTTGGGGGCCATTTCAAACAGCTAACTCAACAACAAAAAAACACAAAAATGTGGAAAACGTGGCACTAGACTGCAGAAAGGATACTTATTTACAGTACGAGAGCTAAAACAAGAAGGCAGAGCCTTGTCATGTTCCCTCCCAGCTGGGAATATGGGTGTCAAGCAACCCAAATTCTCCACTGTTCTGAGCGTGCCCAAGTCGGCGGGCAACCCACAAAGTGCCATGAGGATTGACTTGGGGGTTACGGATAAATGTTGGAAACAGGTGAATTCACACGCACTGAATTAATAAGTAGTGAGGATGGACTGAAAAATGTCAAAATAAATCTATAGCAAAAGAAATGGAAAACTGTCCCACTGGTTTCTATCTCAATCCCTGCTCCAGTTTCATGGACAAGTTCTTTCGAACCTTCACAAAACAGGCCATTCTCAATACTGTTACATTATTTCAGAGATTTTGAAAGGAAAAACAGTGCAATTTTTGGAAGGTAGCATAACTGAAGAGCAAAATCTGAAAGTTCATGTAAACACAAATGCAAAAATTTGAAAATTATGTATATATAAAATCCAGAAATATAGCAAAATGAGATGGGTATAAGCAGTCTAAAGATGGTTAAAAATTAAGAAATCTTTTAATATGATTCACCAATGAATAAGTTATATGGAAGTCAAATGGTGATCCTAAGAAAACAGAAGAACATTTACTAATGTTAAGAATCCATCCTAATAAAAAACAAACCCACCTCAGGATACCTGGGTGGCTCAGTTGGTTAAGTGTGGGACTTGATTTCGGCGCAGCTCATGATCTCAGGGTCATGAGATCCAACCTCTTATTGGGCTCTGTGCTCACCGCAGAGTCTGCTTGAGATTCTCCCTCTATACCCCACTTCATGTGCATGCTCTCTCTCAAATAAATAAATAAATAAATAAATAAATAAATAAATAAAATCTTTCTTTAAAAAACTCTAAAATAAGAATGAAAAATCTCTTAATACATACACAGTATCTTTCTCAAGTCAGCAACTTTAAACCTGTTTCCATGAAAGTCTGGACCAAGACAGGAATGCTAGAATCATTTATAGTTATTTTATATTGTTTGTGAATACTAGTCAACACAATGAAATCATTAATGATTGTTCTGGGGTTCCTGACATGGTTTAGGATTTTAAATGGAGTTGCTGGCATAGGTATTGTTTATGTGCTAAAGGATATTAGAGATTTTGCTTTGTTTTGTTTCAATTATGTTTGAGTCAGTCAGGCCCCCATTTTCTCTTTACTTTTCCCCAAGTTTACCTAATCTTCACACAAATAACATTCTAATAGCCTGTCCTGAAAAGCCAGGACTTCTTCTAAGTATGCAGGGGACTGCTCCTTCCAGCACTAGTTGGGATTCCTGCCATACAGAGAAAAGCTCAAGGACATTATACTGTCCATCTCCAGGTAGGAAGGGGCACTGGCTGTGCCCACCCTACTCAACGGTGGGGCTGAGTGTGTCACTGACTTGACAACCACAAGAGGGACCAAAGAAGAGCTGTGGTCCGACCCCAACTCTGTTCCAGCAAAGTAAATAGTTGGGGACGTAGAATCCGTCTAGACTGAGTATCTGTGTGATGACTTTCCGTTTTCATTCCCATAGTTAGTCATATCCCTTAATCTTTCATGGAATGGGACTAAAATAGCTGAAGGTGGGGGCTTCTGTCCATAAGTCATGGGCATCCCCATGAAATTATGATACTAGTCCTTCTTTGTCCCTGGGTTTTATTTATCATGATGACAATTATTCAATTTTCTAACTTGCAGAATGGGTAGGAACATGACTTGTAACCTGTGATTTACTAAAGCCTCATCAGGTTTTTGACAGTTACTATTTTTCCTTCTCTGGAATTTAGAGAACTTACACTTGGATGAGGGGAAGGTGAATTCTGTGGTGTTCATTACCCCAAACCCCAGGCCCACATCTTTGTCTTCATGCTTCTTTTTTTCTTCCAGGCTGAAGTGGCCTGGGGGTCTGGGTTGCAGTTTTGGGACTTGCTTGGGATTCAAAGGTGAGTGAAATATAAACTTGGAAGGAAATTAGAGGTCAACTCTAAAAATTAAAAAATAACAGAATAAAATGAAGAAAGACAGGATAAGTAAGGAAGAAAGGAAAGAAAGGAGGGATGGAGGGAGAAAAATGGGGAGGGAGGGGAGAAGGAGGAGGAAGAAAATCATTGCCTGAGCTGGGACAAGACAAGAGGGGAGACATTACTGATTATTCTACTGGTAAGTTAAGAAATGCTCATGACTTTATTTTAGATTCATTCCGTACCATGGTCACCTTTCCTTAACAATTGCAAGTTTGGGGACACCTGGGTGGCTCAGCCGGTTAAGCATCTGTCTTTAGCTGAGGTCACGATCCCAGGTTCCTGGAATTGAGCCCCATGTTGGGAACCCCTGCTCAGCGGGGAGCCTGCTTCTCCCTCTTCCCCTCCCCCTGCTTGTGCTGCCCCCCTTTGTCAAATACATAAAATCTTAAAAAAAAAAAAAAAAAAGAATTGCAAGTGTTTTCAAGGCTGAAGTGAGTTTTAAGAAAGGAGAGGCTCTCACCCTGCCGAGTACACATGTGACGACGTCTCCTTCGCAACAGGCCTGATGCAGATTTTGTGTATCCACGGCCAGCCTGGCAATTTCAGAGAAGTTACCTTCTGGTAGTTTTTTAGTCAGCAGAACCAATTCCCTGAAAGGAAAAGTAAGTACTTCTTTAACCATATTTTGAATTCAATCCTTTCTAAAATCAGTTCTAGTTCATTGGGTAACCAAAATAATAGAAACGCATTTGCAGATGTAGGAGAAAGAGAGTATATTTTAAATGCCTCCTATTTCTTCGAGGATAACACTCAGAGCCACACAAAGATCTAAATCACAAAACAAATGCCATTCAATTCATAATTATGCAAAATATTCAAACTTTTCACCATTGAAATGATCACTTAATGAAGCTGAGTTGTTTTAATGGGTAATTTGAAAATTTATCTGACCTGACTCTCCAAGTAAAATTCTTCATCATAAAGACAATAATTCTAAGAGTCTTGGGTCTCCCTCGCTTCTCCCATTGACAACCGAACAACATCCTCCAAATTTCTCCAACAATAGGGAAAATGGGCCTGCCTTATAAACAGTACGAAGCTTCCATCCAGCCCAGTGCTGTCTCAGACTGGGCAAGAAGGTGACAGAAGGAAGGACACATCCCTTCACAGGCAAACTTGGACAGATATACAATCTGGGCCAGGAAAGAGGCACACTGAATAATATCAAATTCTCCTCATTCCACATTCTTCCATCCCTACCCAAAAAACACCACTAGGTTTTTCTGTTCTGCATAACATGGGGAGCCAAAACCTTTCCTACCCTCCCAGAGAAAAGAATACACTTGGTCTGCCAGCCTTTGTCATGTGGAACAATTAAAGTGCTTAAATATTCATGTACAGAATCTTTTGTGCACTAACACAGAGATTAGGGATCTGAGCACATGGAAGAAATGGAGGCAGGAGACATTGGGTAGAGATGAGGATTGTGCGGTTTCAAGCCCAGCGATGTGTGCCCTGTTGAGCAGGCAAGTAGCATTCGTGTGCAGAAAGGAACCAGGTTTGCATTGAGAGATATTATTAAATGAAAGAAAAATGATTTTTCAAATGAATTTGATCAAATGGGGTGACCCAACAGCCACAGGGTTCACGTATCTCAATCAGTAACTTACACTGCTTTTGCTACTTGGTGCTTGAACTTAATCCCAATTTCGCACAAATGGTGATGCCTCAAAGATATTTCTTTAACGTATTTTTTGATGGGTTCTAGCTGTAATTAGAAAAACAACTCATCAAAGAAATGTGGTTGTAACAGAAAAATCACTCTTGTCATTAGTAAACAAGAAAGAAAAATAAAAATTGTTTATCCCCTCAATATTAGAAAATCTTTATTTCTTATTTAAAAGAGACCAAATGCAAAAGCACAATGTGGTTTGTTTTGTTTGTTTCTTTGTTTTATAAAATAGCATCTTACTTCCCAGAGACCACTTCCTCTAAAACCTCAAACTTTTGGAATAAAAATAATACATGAAATCGAGGAAACAAAAGTCCAGAGAGCCACAAGAATAAATTTCAATGATGTCTTACAGTTGTATTTGTTTTTATTCAAGTTACTAACTCTGTCATCTTGGACATGTTTCCTATTGCTTATCTACAATATATGCTCCAGTTTTGCGAAATACATTAATGAAGTCACCCTCCCCCGATATACTCATAGTTTTTAATCCAGGATGTTTACTTTGGAAACTATTGTGAGTAAATTCTTCTACATAAATAAAAACATAATTATGCAAAAAGAAGAACATGCATGTTTTGTTACGAAGGCAAAATTTTGGAGACAAATAAAATGTCTCAACAGAGTGATGGTAAAATAAATAATAGCACATTAATTTTGACAAGTAGTATACTTCCAATAAAAAGTAGGCATGTTTAAATCTCGAATCAAAACTGTATATTCAGTGTGATCACGACAATGTACAAAATAAAATCTGTGAATGGAAAAATGAATAAAAGGAAATACACTAAAATTGGTATCTCTGTGTACTGGGAATATTAGTAATATTTTAAAATCTCGGAACAGCTCTATATTTTGACTTAAAACTCTATAATGACCATAGGTTATTTTTACTTTGGCTAATTGTAACTTACAGTGCTATTTTTAAGAATAAGTCAAAAAATATAAACAAAAGCATTATTCAAACCACAAAACTAGCACAATAATTAAATTTTAATTTAGTAATTATTATTAAATATAACTAATTTATATTTTATAATTAATTAAAATATAATTATTACTTTAATCCTGATTTTGTTATAGTATACTTATTTAAAATCTAGTACAAACAAGTTGTCTACTTCTTCAAGAGCCTCTGAAGACTTAACTCATAAACCATGTTCTATGATCATAGGCACAATTTTTACACACTTGGTTATATTATTTTCTCTGAGAAAGAAGCAAGAACTATTAGGAATAGGCATCCTGGAAGCAGCAATACTGTAGAGATCATAAAGTTGGGTAGGAGAAGGAAGAACTCTTCACTAACTTTATAAGGGCATATTATACATTAAGGGAAATTCTCCACTGAGAATGGTTGAGAATAAGAAAACTTCGTAACTTAAAAGAGTAAGCACAAGTTACTTTAAAAAAAGTTAACTTTCACAAAAAGTTTCATTCTTCAGAAGTGTGAAGTAATGAGATATAAGTCAGCGTGATCATTTGTTTTACTGTTTTTAATTAACACAAACCTAAAAGAAAAAAAAAAAAAAAGACCCTCCTGCTTAGGAATTCAGAATTGACTTCGGAAGCAGTCACCAGGGGACAAAAGGAGAGGGAGGTTATATATCTATATATATACACACACATATATGATAATGATACCTTTAATGATAATAGCTATAATTATTGAGTACTGAGCATATGCCAGAAGCTCTTTAGATACATTAATTTCTTACTCAAAGTAGATGCTGAGGAGCTCAATAGGAAAAATAGGTTTGGAGGAATAGAGAAATAGGGGTTTTGGAGAATATGAGATAAATCTGCACTGAGAAGATCAAAGAAAACAGTAAGAATAAAATGGCTCTGCATTTAGTCTTGAGGGATTCATCAAAATGATCCTCAAACTACTACTCATTTCAGGACAACTTTGGAAAATTCACCTGGTGCCCTCTCTAAAAATGGTCGTTTTATGTTGGTATTTAAAACCTTTAATGAACATGCATGAAAAGTACTTTAATCATAGAACTAATCACTGATTTATGTCTCTTCAGTGAAAGAGAAAAGGCTACATGGTTAAAGTTAAATGTGATAGATTGTATTTTCCAAAGACTGCTGTAGCGATAGCTTCTACCCCGGGCTCTTCTTACAATGAGACTTCGACAATCTTCCCATCAAGAAGCATAGTATATATACTAACCCTTTCCAACCAGTGAGGTTTTATAGTGGTTTTTTTTTTTAAGATTTTATTTATTTATTTGACAGACAGAGATCACAAGGAGGCAGAGAGGCAGGCAGAGAGAGAGAGGAGGAAGCAGGCTCCCTGCTGAGGAGAGAGCCTGATGCGGGGCTCCATCCCAGGACACTGAGATCATGACCTGAGCCGAAGGCAGAGGCTTTAACCCACTGAGCCACCCAGGTGCCCCGTGGTTTTATAGTGTTTCAACCAACAGCCTGTGACAGAAGTAACTTCTGAGGCTAGCTCATAAAAAGGCCATACAACTAGAATATGCATTCTTGAAGACTTTGGCCATATGTAAGCAATCCAGCTGCCCTGAAGCTACCATGCTGTGAGGAAGCCCAAGCTATAGGCAGAGAGACCACATGGAGAGGCCCTGAGATTCTATGAGAAGAAAGCGATGTTGAACTAGCCCCCAGGAGCTTCTGCCCCCCAGAGTCCTAGAGCCAGCCATTATCTGACTGCACCACAAGAAAGAGCATGAGCCAGAACTGCCCAGATGAGCCCTTCCTGAACTCCTGACCCACAGAAATCATGAGAGCTAGTGAAATGATCGTTGTTGGCTTGAATTAATAAATTTTGGGGTGTTTTGATATGCAACAATAATAACTTGAATATTAGATATATATGACGAAGTAATGTCTATGCTAAATCACACTTTTCAAATTATAATAACAATATGAATTGCCTCAGAATCTCATTACAATAACGTCTTATTTAGTGGGTCTGGAGAAAAACTTCAGATTCTGCATTTCCAATGCTCTCCCCATGGCCTGTGCTGTTGGTCCACAGTCCACACTCTGCAGAGCAAGATTCTAAACAACAGTTGACATATGAATATTTTACCTTTATCTGGAAGCATTCAGTTTTATTTCTTTCTCGACAGCATGACTGGATAGCTGTTTCATAGCAAGCAGACATGGTCAGAATTGTGGGTCCGTACAAGAACGGATGCTTTCGAGACGTTTCATAAATGTACCTGTAATTTGGCAAATACATAGTTGTGTAATTTAGAATTCAAGAACATGTGCCAACACTGTTTCTTCATCCAGTTTTGTGGACCTGAACTTCTAGAATCTCACGGTAAAAGAGATGGGGTAGCGTGATACGTAAACACATCACACGTTCACGTCACTCTGAACAGATCACTGTGTAGTCAGACGTTCGCTGAATGCCCATGAAGTGAACAACCCTAACTTCCAGGCTGGTGGGGAAAGAAAAACTAACTAAAACTTGTCCTTTCTACATAAGAAAGGAAGTTCAGTAGTCCAATCTGAATTATAAACACGGGATTGTGCAGCGGGTGCAGGAGGATAAAATTTAGAAGCTATTAGGGGAGAGGATGATTTCCTCTCAAGAACATCCAGAAGTTCTTTCTAGAACTTCTGTCATTGTTCTCCAAGATGTGCCCCTCAATATTTTGGTCTGAGACTAAGTCCTCTGTCTTTTCGTTTCCTCTCTAATTCATTCATTCCTCACACTCGTAGAGCCTAGACATCAGGTCTGCCTTTCACTTATAATACATATCTCCTCCTACTTTTGCAAAGCTTGCTCAAGAGACCCCACAGACCCACATGCAAAAATACTGAACAAGATGACATTACAGGCAAAAACTGGCTCAAGGCTCACAAAAAACCATTTTCTTTTCCTGTGGGCACAGGGACACTCCTTTTCCAGACTCCCTTGCAGTTAGGTTGAGAACATGTTACTGAGTTCTGGATGATAAAATGTCCTGAATGAATGAATGTCCTCCACACCACTTTGAGGTGTGGCTATTAATGTCTCGGCACATTTCCTGCTCTTTTTCTGTTTCTCAGTGACCTGGGAAACACAGGCGTCAGATAATACAGAGATGGGAACATCTTGCAATCTCGAGTTACCCCTTGGAGGAGAATTGTCAGGAGCTGAGGCCAGTTAGAGAGCTATGAGAGGCCAAGTGTCAGAGTAGCCAACGAAAACAAAATGAAAGAAACACTCAAGACTTTAGTCACTTACTAGGATAATATGAGCAAGAGGTTAAACCGGAGAGAGTGTCAACTGCCCACCCTCTCCCCCTGTCCACTTGGCCCCCAGGGTCCTGACCAGTTGAGGACCCAGTAGAGCACTACAGACTTGGGGATGGCTTCCTCCTGAAAGTTCCCAAACAAAAGGCTCCTGTGGTTTCAAGGACCCTGGGGCAGCGGGAAGGAGAGGGGAAAAGGCCAGGAGTGGGAAAGCCCTGAGTGCTGAGCCAAAGTGCATAGAAGTATGTCTAAGTTTCTCCCTCCATTCCCCCAATTAGGAAGTCTCAGCAGAGACCCCTGGGCTAGGAATGAAGCTATGCATGAAAACATGGTGGGTATCGGGGGAGGACTGAGCCCTTGACTGAAACTCCTTAAGAGACTGACATGTGTTTTGCCCCATTCTGCTGTGGGAAGGGCAGCTTGCCCCACGGAGGCCTGTCATCCATAATTGCCTATTGTCAGGTCTGGAAAAAAAAAATCATGCCCAGGATTCAACCAGGAGCCAGACTCTTCAAGAGTCACCAAAGGGAACGACCCGATTTAGACTATGATATGAAAAAGAAATAAATCTTTACTGAATTCAACCAAAATTTAGGATTTTAGGATTTATTCATAAATTTAGGATTTCCTTGCGACCGCAGCATAGCTTAGTCCATCCTAATGATCATAGTACTATCCCTAATGCAAGTTTAATATGTAGTATTTGTAAAGTAGGCCAGTATTACCAGAAAAATGGTGGCCTCAGAAAATCAGGTTTTCAACACTGAAAGGATAATGGAGGAATTGATAGAATAGGGACTTGGTTCATGTTTTAACTTTCCCCCACCCCCCTGTTCCTTGGACAATACATACAATACATATCTGTATGCCTGCTCCTTTGGGACCTAACTCCAAGTCCTTTTGGGATCCCAGAGAAGGATACAGGTGCAGAAACCACTGAATTCAAAAGAAAAATTGTTACCATCACCTTCCCTGGAACTATTAAATTATATCTCATGACGAATAGCCAAGGAAATGTTAAAAATATTTTAATAGAAATCCCTGAGTGCTGCAGAGTCTAAAAGAGAAAATCCCATCCACGAAGGTGACTAGAGTTTCTGCGGTCAATACCCATATGTGACTTCATCAGAAGAGTATTTCTTGCTACTCTCTGACCAGATAGGGAATGGTGGTGCCATAACAAAAAACAAGAGATTTGCAGGAGACCTGAAGCACTAACCAAACATTAACAGAGACTTTATCTAACAACTGGTGTGTAGCAATCCTGTGGTAACATTTCCTTTCGGTTAAAAGTACAAAATATTTTTCTTGTGGGTGGATGACCACTGAGGTGGTGGCCATTAGAGTTGTTTATCAGAGATTTCCAACTCCCCTCCCTTCAGGCAAATGGTAGGATTGCGCATTCACACCCCTCCTCGTGAGGTGAGGTCTGACAGTGTGACTTGCTGGTTAATGATGTATGAGAAGATATGATGAATGTTGTTTCTAAACAAGCTTAAGAAGCAGTGCGTGATTTACTAGTGCCCCCTTCCCTTGCCATAGTAATCAAAGAAGCAAGGGTTGAGATGGTGTCTTTGTCAACCTAAGTCCCTAAGTGATGATGATAAGGAGACCTCCTATACTACAGTCTATGCTGGACAGATAGCATGAGCGGGAGAAGAAAAAAAAAAAAACTTTTGTTATATTGAGCTGCTTAAATTAGAGGTTATTTGCTATCACACTAAAGTTCGCTTATCCTGGGATTATTACTTTTGCTTTTTTAAAAACCTATAAAGGAATAAGATAGAATGGGAAAAAGAAATTTTTAAATTAAAACCTATAAAGGAAAAAATCATCCACAATTGATGGAGGGAAAAGAACAGACCAAATAATGGAACTGAACATCATTCATTCTCACCAAGGGGCCCCAAACCCCTGGAAGTTTAGTCAGTAGGCTTTTATCCGCATAGTTTCTCAAGCCCAACTTGTAGAAACAGAACAGCAGAACTGATACTATCAACATACACCTGCCTCCCAACATAAGGCAAAATTCTTGGTCAATATGAAATTTCACCAAAGCCATTCAATACCTCTGTTCTTTATTGTGTATGCTGAATTAAGAGTTCATTTTTGTGCTACAGTAACAGTTTCCTTAGAAGATATTCAATATGATCTAATCTAATTTCAAATCTCGAAAGTTTACCTTTGTATAAGGAAAAGCTTTCTGATAATTAAAGCCATTTAAAAAATGGACTGTCCCCATTGTAAGGTAACATAGGGTTTTGCTTGATTGAAAGTTGGGTTCTATAGTCAGACATACAATAGAAGCTTACAATAATTAAAACTGCTATTGAAGATTCCTTAGATAATCCAAAGGTACAGTAACTATGTTTTTTTTTTTAAAGATTTCATTTATTTATTTGACAGACAGAGATCACAAGTAGGCAGAGAGGCAGGTAGAGATAAAGGGGGAGGCAGTCTCCCTGCCAAGCAGAGACCCCAATGCAGGGCTTGATCCCAGGACCCCGGGATCATGACCTGAGCCGAAGGCAGAGACCCCAACCCACTGAGCCACCCAGGCACCCCAGTAACTATGGTTTTATGTATTTGTAGACTATGCTTTCTTTTGAAACATCTGAAAGAACTGACCTCTCCTCCCAGCTCTGATATATGTTACTGTTTCCTTGGTGGGGAATTAAATGAAGTTGTTACCTTATAATTATGAGACAAGTAATGAGAAAATATTTATAGTTGACTGCATGTAAATTAAGATTAGCATTTAAAATAACTCCCTAATATTGACTTCATTGTAAATATTCCAGAAGAGATTAGATTCACTGCCTGAGTATTGGTTAGATTTTATAATCTCTGAATGTTCAATCCAAACCTGATTTTACAATTCTCCTTTAGAGCAGCAATGTAGCAAATAGGTAGCTGGGTCCTATTTCCGTTCCCATTTGGTTGCCCCTGATGTCAGGCAAGTTGGAACCTGCCCAATTCCCATCCCTTAGTCCTCTCTTTTCTTTTTCTTTTCTTTTTTTTTTTTTTAAGAATTATTTACTTATTTGAAAGAGAGAGAGAGAGAAAGGGAGAGGGCACGCACATGTGCACACACACACACACACACGTGCATGCATGCACAAGCAGGGGGGAGTGGCAGAGAGTCTTAAGCAGACTCCACTCTGACCACAGAACCCAACACTGGGCTTGATCTCCAGACCCTGAGATCATGACCTGAACTGAAACCAAGAGTTGGACACTTAACCGACTGTGCTAGCAGGTACCCCAGTCCTTTCTACCTGAGTGGCAAGGGCCAATTAATTTCCTCTTGAAGGCTCAGCAATGTCTGGGGCAATTCCGCCCCCACACGGGTGAATGAAAGGAGTTTACGTATTCAGCATGAAGTCACCCTCTCTGTTCACTCACCTCTGGTTTAAAGTTTCATGTCTAAAACCTGAAATCAAATCACTACCATGCTCCTTGCCCTCTAGAACCAGCAATCAGATCTTTGCCTTATTCCCATTGTCTGAGCCTGTCTTGATAAGATGGCTAGAATTGCCTTTCTTGAGAACTGAAGCTTTTTGTTTCTCTTAGCATTTCTACCTCTCTAGCATTGGTTTCCTGCCTCTAAACCTATGCCACTTGCTCGCACCTCTTTACAAGTAAACCTCTGTGCTCCCCAGGAAAACAAAACAGAAGCTTGCCTACCTATTTGCTATAATGCTATCCACTCCGATGGGAATTATAGAATCAGAATTTATGAGCAGAAAACTCATCTCTGTCGAATCTGCAGTTGTTACCTCTTCCTATGTTCTCAATGACAGACTCTCTCTATGCCCTATCAGATACCTTCTCTGCTATCCCTTGATGAGTCTCCCAAATGCCAGCCCTTGTCAGAGCTATTACCTGCTCTCTGTCCCCGATACTCTGTTTATTATGCTCTGCTTACTTGCTGAACCTTTCAGCATCACTTGCTGCTGGTCTGACTAATCTAACCATTAAGGAGATGGGTCCTTAACACTGTCCTGGTCATTTTTTAAGTTTATTTTTTAATTTCTTTTTGTCCTAGTCACTTTTAATGTTTCCTACACATGGACATTTCCATGTCCTGTCAGGTTCACTGAGATTGTAACTGTCATTCTGAGGGAGCAAAATATATATTGTAGCTCAAATTTTTACCTTAATTCATGTAAGAAAGCATTGTGTTCTCAGAGACCCATATATAAAGAAAAGATCTGTCTTCAAAATTGGAAAACACTCTTCTGCAGAGCCTATGGCAAGGAGAAATGACTCACCTCTCCTTCACTGACACTTGATTCTCTTCATTCATCTCACAGATCTGCTCAGGATTTGGAATTTGGAATATATCACTGTAACCTCCATCATCTTTTTTGTATAATAGGAAGCACTTGAGTCTTGCTTTGTTATTTATATTGCAACAGTCAGAAAACTCCTGTTTGTCAGCCTTTCCTTGGTTATTACAAATGTGCTCTAGGAAGGTAGACATCTGCAGGAGGAAATAATACTTTAAAGGGGAAGCATGTGTGATCTACTTTTCTAGGAAAGTTAAAGAATTATTATCAAGATAAGGCCACTGAGGACATGCTCTTACAGTCTGTATTTAATAATCCCTGGACATAGTTCTTTTGAGCACAAGTTTTTTAGGTTTTTAAGTCTAAATTCCCACATGCTAGACATGGACCAAATGGAATTTATCGTTCTCTCCTTTCCAAAATAATTGTGATTTCAAATTCATTTTCATACAGCTGTTGAGAGGCAGTAAACATAAGCCAAAATTCCAGAGCCTAACGAAATCGTGGTCTTTTTGGTAACTATCCTCCAAGAAATAAATGAAGTTGAATTTCCTTGCTTCCTATTTGTTTTTAGTTTGGTTTCCATAGGAAGTTATTTTAAGACCTGAACTCTAAGGCAGTGTATATTCAGTGTCAAATGTTCAAATGAAAATGTAATAACTCAGTTAGTTTTCAAATACCTTGGAGTGGCAGTAAGTGTGTGGGATGTGGTAAACCTCAAATAAAATACATGTCCAGATTTAGGGAATAAGGGCAGGAAAAAGCCCATCATTTGAAGTAGAAATAAAAAGGGGTCACTATAAAACAACTAAGATTAGTGACAGGCAGAAACACTTCATTTCCAATGTGTTTCTAGGAACATCTGGGTGGTGCAGTCAGTTAAAACATCTGACTCTGGATTTTGGCTCAGGTCATGACCTCAGGGTCCTGGGATGGAGCCCCACATAAGACTCCACACTCAGCCAGGGAATCTGCTAGAGGAGTCTGTCTCCCTCTACCTCTGCCCCTACCCCCACTCTCTCTCTCTCAAATAAATATATCTTTAAAAATTAAATAAAATGTGTTTCTAATTAGACTGATGGTTTTTCTATGTCTACTAAGAGTCTAGTAAAAGATAGGTAGGTTTTAGCCTCAAGAAGAGGGAATAGTAAAAATAATAATAAACTTACCAATAAAGAAGAAAACTATTGATTTATAGTTTAAAATATTTGGTATGAGACAAGTGATCCAAAAAATATGTAGATTGCACAAATATGTTAGTGTTCATGAATAATTTGTTCATCGTAAGATACGCATACTTTATGAGACAGAAGTAATCCCCAAGATTTTCTACTAACTAGGGAAAGAGCCCATAATCATATTCACTTCTTTCTTCTGTTTCATATACTCTTAGAAACATTTTTAAATTAGTGTTTTGGTTTCCAGGAACATTTATATGAGGATGTCAGACAGTGGTATTCCAGTGGGAGAGGCGGAGCAACCAACTAAAATGAACAAATTGGCCTCTAGGTTGTAATCCGTTCTCTTGAGCATTTGGTTCTCTGAGTCTGATCTCCCAGAGATGAAATGAAGAATTTGGGCTTATAAACTTACAAAGATTATATTTTGAGTGTGATTGATGTCTGTATTGTTGCCTTAAAGTCCTCTACTTAATTCTTCAACATCTCACTTCATAACAACACCTTTTGGTTGGAATTTTAGTTTAAAAAAAGAGAGAGAAAGACAAAACATGATTCACCTACCAACTGGTGAGAGCATTCTGATGGTGACTCATGTGCCTTGAGGATCTTGCACTTGTCTGCAAGATCTACCACCTCTTCGACTATGGTTTGTACTTCTTCAAAAGTTAATTTCTGGAGAAACTGAGCCACCATGATGCTGGTGCTGAAACATAACACTTGTGAGAGTGTTAAAGGTGAAATCAAACTCTTCCTCCACCATCATTAGATCACTGCCCCCCTACCTTCCAAAATGATTGTGATTTCAAATTTCAGAGAAGAGAATATTGATAACAAAACTCACATGTCTTTTAAGTTCTCCTGCAGGTAATTCTGGCTATTAATGTGGAGCAAGGCTGGAAAAAAAAATGAGATTTTATTTGCATAAGAGGATATTTTCAAATTTGAAATCGCCCTTTATAATTCTGTTATCCATATTTATTCACTTATAAATTTCCAGATTTATTTTATTTACCATCAAGAATTAAAATGAATTGCCAGACTATATCTTCACTTGTGTTTCAACTGCATTCTGTGAATGACTTTCTTCTGTTCAAATATATTGTGTCCTTGAAATCTGGCATTAGCCCACAAATAGTTGCACGTACTTGTGTTGACACACCGGAATTAATTAACATGATTTGGTTATTTGACTCTTTATATTAGAAGTTACTAGCATATCCAAGGAATACTAAAAAAATTAGGGGTAATTCATGTAATAAAGCATTGGAAGCAAACATATAAACATTACACTTTGCCAGGCCTCATTTGACAAAGACAATATCTCACCCATTTTGGATTTACTCATCAACTTTATCTTTCTTATCACCTCCACTCACCACACACACACACACACACACACACACACACACACCAGACACACACACAGAAACACATGTAAGTTCTCTACTGAAAACAGTATCTTCTTATACTAACCTTTTCTGAAGAACTGAGCAGCTTTCTGTTAAATAAAAAAACCATCATCATATCTGTTACAGGGAAAGGCTTTGGAGCCAGTTACTCTGAGTTCAACTTCTAGCTCTGATTCTGAGTGTGGCCTTAGGAAAACAGCTTAAGCTCTCAAAGTTTTAGTTTCTCTACCTAGAAAACATAAATAAACTCTACCACGATGGATAGTTGTTCGGATTAAATGGAAACATACGAGTGTAGCACTGAACACAGCACCTAGCACCGAAGGGTACTGAAGAATGTAGCTCGTAGTATTATTCCTGCTACTATGAACACAGTTGCTTTATCCAAAATCATTTACCCAGTTTCAAACACAAGTTTGAAATGTATCGTTCCCTCACTGGAGTGGAAATAAGGCTAAAGTGAGATCTTCCTGTGTGTGTTGCCCCAATATATTAGCTCTCTTTCTGCATCCCTTCCACAAACCAGTTTCTAGCAATTTCCAATGACTCTGCTGACAGTGATGAGCATTGAGGAAGACAAGCCATTCCCCATATTTTAGTCTACATTTTAGTAGTCATTATGCCTTAGGTCCTGGCACAGGGGATGTGTAGATTATAAACAGGACCCCTACCTGCAGCTAGTAAACTTCCCTGAAGAGTCTGACACTGAACATAGCTGAAGAAGAAAACAAGAAAACAAAAAAAAAAAAAAAAAGAAAACAAGAAAACATATGGGTCTAAGAGTCTTCATCGTTCCAGATGAAACTTTAAAGAAGGTGCTCTATCATCTCAAAGAATTGAAGAATCCTTTTTATACTCTTTTCAAGTAACAACTATTAATAATTAACCTTTTCCTGGTGAATATTTTTTCTGGGCCAGTACGACCCTGATGAAATTGAAAAAATTCATGACAATGGAGAAACATTGTTACTGGATGGCATTCATTAATGAATACTGGGTTTTAAAATGAGTCATGTCAATCTACTTGTTGTTTTTCCAAAATTATACCATGTAGGCCTCGTAGTAATCAATAAGCACCTTTGGTACATATCTCATTTGCTGGGAAGGCCTGTTGACACGGACAAAGTTCTAAAGTGGCAGGAGGGAAGGTAAACAGGTACTACCACAGATTCAAATAAATGGTTAAAGCCCTGGTTCCAGTGCGGGCACATTTTCAAGTCCCTGGAAGGGGTGGGGGAGCATGGGCCTGGGGAGCATGGGCCTGGGGAGCAGACCCAAGGAAATGGAACCTAATTTGCTGAGTGTTTATTGTGGGTCTGGTGCTTTATACGATATATTTAGACAACAGTATTCTTATTTTTTGAATAAGAAATTAAGACTCGGGATCATACTAGGTATGACACTGCCCACCGCACTAGGTAGCCACCTAAAAGGGTCACCTGGAAGACTCGAGTTCTGGAAAAGGCCAGGAGCACCTCGTGCAGTCTGCCTAAAGGCCATAAAGCTACTGACAGCACTGGCAAGGGTGAACCGAGACCAGAGCCCGGGCAGCCTCTTGGCCCAGTAGCTGTTTGAGATTGAGAGCGTCATGGAACTCAAGGGCAGACACAAGGACGACATGGAGCTGCTGGACCAGCGAAGACATCAGGATGCAAGTGTGCAGATGAAGCGTGTCCAGTGAGAAATGGGAATTGGCAATGAATTTGGGCCTTTTCTTCTATTGAGTCAAGGAATGAACTTTTTCAGTGACCCAGGCCAGGCAACCAGAAATCACTTTCGAGTGCATGCAGCTCTTGAGGCTTATTTCTGAGGCAGACCCAGAGGACTTGGATTTGCCCTGCCAGGCCAGGGCCCGTCCATAGAGAACTGAGAAGGCAGCCAAAAGCAACACCTGGGAGCCTCAAGTTCTGGGGAAGCCTGGGAACACACCACGTCGCCTGGTCTGTAGGGTACAGGTGGAGGAGTCTGGACTGCTTTGCAAGGACGCGGCGGCAGGAATATCCTTCACTAAGAGACACCTGGGAGACTTGACCAATCAGCCTTTCAAGGGCTGATTCCAGCATTCTGACTGTGGTATCCTCAGTAAGAGACACTCGGGAGTCATGTTTGTTACAGAAGCCTGGGACTTCAGGAAATAGGCAGACCTGAAGCGCTTGGATTGCCCTGCCATGTTGGAAACAGGAAGAAACCGAAAATTTGAACAGACCAATTACCCCAATGAAATTGAATCAGTAACCACAAACTCCTGAGAAACAGAAGTCCAGGGCCAGATGACGTCACAGGCAACTTCTACCAAATGTTTAAAGAAGAGTTAATATCTATTTGTTTTTGTTTTTCATTTTTTGAGATAATACCTATTTGAAGCAGGAGAGCTAGGTTCTTGTCTCACAGAGTCGAAAAATTAATCGCATGGACAAAGGAGAGTGAGCAAAGCAATCTTATTAAATAAGGATACAGACAAAGCTCTCAAGAGTAGGAGGGTCCCGCCAGGTTTGTCAACGTAGGCCTCCACCGACAGGCTTTTATCTCAAATTGACCAGGGAGCTTGAGGCCTTAACATCCTTGTAAGGTCTTGGCTTGAGTAAGGACTGGCGATAATGTCTTTAATGGCTTACTTCTACTTTCAGGTCTGGTTATTCTTTGTTGTGCACAATATGACTGCCATAAAAAGACCCCACCTCCGACGCCCAGGCCAAGGTGGTCTGATTTGTACCCTTATCTCTGATTTCACTGTGCCTCAGCATTTCTGGGATTTTTGGTGAGCCTGATCATATGGCCCGCTACCTAGCCCTGACTGCCCCTTACTCATATTCTCCTCAAACTATTCCAAAAAATATAAGAAGAAGGGAAACTCTCAAATTCATTCTATGAGGCCAGTATTACACTGATACCAATACCAGATAAAAACACCACAACCATGACAGATTGTGGACTCCAAGAAACAAATAGAGGGTTTCAAAGGGGGAAGGGTGTGGGGAGATGGGTTGGCCCAAGTGATGGGTATTAAGGAGGGCACATATTGCATGGAGCACTGGGTGTTATACGTAAACAATGAATCTTGGAACACTACATCAAAAACTAACAATGTGTTGTATGGTGACTAACACAACATGATAAAATTAAAAAAAAAAAAACATGATAAAAGAGAAGTATAGGCCAATATCTCTGATGAACATGGATGCCAAAATCATCAACAAAATACTAGCAAACTGAATCCAACAACACATTTAAAAAAAAAAAACATACAATCAAGTGGGATTTATTCCTAGGATTCAAGGGCTGTTTAATGTTTACAAATCAATCAACATGATACATCACATTAACAAGAGAAAGGATAAAATCCATGCAATCATTACAACAAATGCAGAAAAATCATTTGGTGAACTACAACATTCAGGATACAATCCCTCAACAAAGTAGGTTTACAGGGAACATACCTCGTTATAGTAAAGGCCTATATCAGGAAAAAGACAAGGATGTCGACTCTCACCACTTTTATTCAACATGGTACTAGAAGTCCCAGCCATGGCAATCAGACAACAACAACAATAAATAAATAAATAAATAAATAAATAAATAAATGCATCCAAATTGGTAAAGAAGCAGTTAAATTTTCACTATTTGCAGATGATATGCTACTATATCTAGAAAACCCTAAAGACTCCACCAAAAAACTATAGAACTGACAAATGAATTCAGTAAAATCACGTGTTACAAAATCAATGTATAGATATCTCCTACATTTCTATACACTAATAATGAAGCAGGAGAAAGAGAAATTTAGAAAACAATCCCATTTACAACTGCACCAAAAATAATAAAATACTTAGAGGAAACCTAACCAAAGAGGTAAAAGACCTGTACTCTGAAAACTATAAAACAGTGATGAAACAAATTGAAGATGACACAAAGAAATGGAAAGACATTCTGTGCTCATGGATTAGAAGAGCAAATATTGCTAAAATGTCTACACTATGCAAAACAATCTATACACTTAATGTAATCCCTATTAAACAGCATTTTTCACAGAATTAGAACAAACCATCCCAGAATTTGGATGGAACCACAAAGGATCCCAAATTGTCAAAGCAATCTTGAAAAAGAAAAACAAAACTGGAGGTATCACAATTCCAGAATTCAAGTTATATTACACAGCTGTAGTAATCAAGACACGATGGGACTGGCACACAAATAAACACATAGATCAATGGAACATAATAGAAAACTCAGAAATGAAAACCACAATTATATGGTCAATTAATCTTCTACAAAGGAGGACAGAATATGCAATGGGAAAAGAGTATCCTTGACAAATGGTGTTGGGAAAATTGGACAGCTGCATGCAAAAGAATGAAACTGGACCACTCTCTTACATCATACACAAAAATGGACTCAAAATGGATTAAAGACCTAAATAGGAGACCTGAAGCCATAAAAATCCTAGAAGGGAGAACAAGCAGTAATTTCTCTAATATCGGCCATCGCAACATTTTTCTAGATATGTCTCCTGGGGCAAGGGAAATAAAAGCAAAAATGAACCATAGGGACTATGTCAAAATAAAAATTTCCTGCATAGTGAAGGAAACAATGAACAAAACTAAAAGGAAACCTACTGAATGGGAGAAGACATTTGCAAATGACATACCTGATGAAGAGTTAGCACCCAAAATATATAAAGAACTGATAAAACTCAACAACCCAAAAAACAAATAGTCCAATTAAAAAATGGGCAGAAGACATAAACAGACATTTCTCTAAAGAATATATCTGAATAACCAACAGACACATGAAAATATGCTGAATATCACTCATTATTAGGGAAACGCAAATCAAAACTACAATGAGATATCACCTCACACCTGTTAGAACAGCTAAAATGAAAAACACAAGAACAACAGGTATTGGCAAAAACGTGGAGGAAAATGAACTCCTGTACACTGCTAGTGGAATACAAACTGGTACAGCCACTGTGGACAACAGTAGGACAACAGAATAGTACTAAACTCTGATCCAGTAATCACACAACTGGGTATTTATCCAAAAAATTCAAAAACACTAATTTGAAGAGATAAATGCATCCCTCTGTTTATTGCAACATTATTTACAATAGCCAAATTATGGAAGCAACCTGAGTGTCCATCAACTAACAAATGGATAAAGAAATATGGTGTACACATATGTGATAGAATATTTTTCAGCCATAAAAGAGAATGAAATCTTGCTGCATGAATGAAGCTGGAGTATAATGTTAAGCAAAATAAGTCAGAGAAATATAAATACTGTATGATTTCACTCATGTGGAATTTAAGAAAGAAAACAAAACAAACAAAAGAAAAGAGAGAGAAACCAAGAAACAGACTCTAGGGAACCAGCAGACAGTTACCAGAGGGTGGTGGGAGGCGGGTGTGAAACAGGTGAAGGGGTTGAAGCTTAAGTTGTCGTGATGAGCACGGAGTACTGTACTGAATTGTTGGATCGCTCTATTGTCTACCGAAACTAGCATAATACTAATATAATAATAAAAACTGATAGAGTACCGTATGTTACCTATACTGGAATTAAAATAAAAAACTTATTTAAAAAATGATCAATAACGACAAGAGACTCGGGGTCACATAATTTGCTCATGGACTTACGGGGAGAAATCCAGGTTTGACTTTGGAGCCCACAGCGCTCAAGAGCTAGTACAGGAAACTGAGGTGTCAGCATTCCTGAGCTAGTGTCACCTTCACCTAACACCCAGTTTGGGGGGTTAGGGGAAGAAACGGGTACTTACTGATTAAATAAAAAGTCTAAGAAAAATGTGAAAGCCAAAGTTTTGGAAATGTTTTGGAGGTCACTGGTTACTACTTGAACAATTCCCATCCTGAGTTTCCTTATTTATATATGGAGGGTATGGACCAGATAATATCTAAGACTGACAGTCCATCGTGTGATTGTGCTAACCATATATTCTTATTTCTGGTTTCTTAGGCAAAAAAAAATAATAATATATATATATTTATATACTTTATATTTATTTTTATTTAATATTAATCAATCAATTAATTAATTACTACATATGTATATCAAGTGGGAAAGATTTATCTGCCTGAAAAATAATGATAAATCTGTTCTTATTTAGCTTTGGGATATGTTGGCTAATGATAAAGAATATAGATCATGTGTGATGGAAAACTAGGGTCAGCAAATGAAAAATTATCTTTGGCAGGTTTTCATTACTTTTTTAGGTCCTCTAAACAGTGCTAATGCTCAGCAGCTCTTCCGTTGCATATTCTTAGAGCTGTGCCCTTGAGCACTTACTCTGAGCCTCCCAGGACAATTAGAACTGGACCTATTACTCTAGGGATGGCCAACATTTTGGATGAGAGATGCCAGACTGTCACCCACTGCAGATATTACTAAGTGATCATTGCTCTCTTTTCATTACTCAGTGCCACAAGAAGGCCACTATTAATTGATTGGAGATGATACTTAAAAAAAAAAAAAAAGAACCATTGCATGTGTGCTGAAATAATTCCTCTTTTTATTAAAATAATGGACAAAATTTACATCCTATTTGAATTCTCATCTCAGAGTAAAAGATTCTTGGAAACATAAAATAATGTTAAGTCCTTTATCAGGGACTGAAGGCAGAATTTCAGACCAGAGGAAAAACAAGTAGTGAGGCAAAGGCAAGGGGAAGGTTTCCTGATAAGCAAAGGCAAGGGGATGGGTTTCCTGATAAGACTAGAAAGACAGCGCAGAACTTGTTCCCTACAAGAGTGAAATCTTTACCCTGACCTTTAAGATGAAAAATGGAAGGTATACAAGACACAGTGATGATGTTTAATGAATATTATTTCACCACAAACCAAATTCTTATCTGAGTCATAGAAACAGAGTTGGAAGGAACCTTAGAAAGATCAGGACTGGATTCCTGGATCCCACAGAAAACCTGGATGGGGATTGCTCATGCCTGTGCAATTTCGACACTCATTACTGTACCATGAGGCCCACCCCACTTAGAATTATCACTAATACTAGAAAATTCTTCTTGCACTGAATTCTGGTATGGTCTAGTCACTGGTTTGAGTTCTAAGCAATACAGTGTGATGTGCCCTCATTCCAAATCCTCTCTTTTGAGGCAAAATACATCTTTTTAATAAACCATTCCTCCCCTTCCTTTTCCCACATCAAGTTGGTTACATGCTTTTTAATAGTATGTTCTCTGGAATATCAGTAGAGAGTTGTAGGGTAAGTTCCTCTGTGATTATAGAGTCTTATAATTAGAGGCTATTAATAAGTATCTAGCATTTACCTGAGTGAGTGTGCAAATTGAGGCCATGGAAAGGGAGGGATGAAGTCACTGGCAGTTCATAAAAGACACTTGAAGAAAGGGTGTTGGGCACCTGGGTGGCACAGTCAGTTAAGCATCTGACTACAGCTCAGGTCATGATCTCAGGGTCCTGAGGTCCTCACATCGGGCTCCCTGCTCAAGCAGGGACTCTGCTTCTCTCTCTCCCTCTGTGCTCTCTCTCTCTCTCGCTCTCTCTTGCTCTCTCTCAAGTAAATAAATAAAATCATTTTTTTAAAAGGTTCTTATTGTCTTCCTGTACAATATGGGACTGATTTCATTTTAACCCAGCAGGCTCCTGGGCCTCTGGTTTCATATCTGTTGTGTCTAGCCCAGTATTGGACACGTAGCTGAATCCACTATTAGGTACCAAACTGAATTACCTAACTGGGAGCTGATTCACTTCTGTTTGTTAAACTTACTATCCAATATCTAAGTGAAACTTTCTTCCTGTTCTCCTCATTAGTAAATGGAAATGTTTGGCAAAATGGCAAAAGGACAAAATAACTTCCCAAAATAAACATCTATTACCTGCTGGCCATGGCACTGGGTACTGTGTGTAGTCATTCAATGCATTTCTCTAAAGCCTTTGTGAAGTGGACATTATTCTCCCACGTTATACAAAGAAATGAAGGTCTTGGATTATAGGGAACTTGTCAGAGGCCGTACAGGAAGTTACCGGCAGCAGGAATTTGATGCCCCACCCCTGCCGGTACTTCCCCTACAACTTCGGCTTAGATTGTAGTGCCTGTGTGCCCCCACAGCAGGGGAATTCTTCTATCCTTATGACATCATATGTGATTGCTTGTTTACTATCCTTCCCCCTGCCATGGGGAGCCATCTCTGATCGCCTCATATTCGTATGTGCAGTGTCTGACACACAGTAGGAGTCTAATAATAAATATTTGTTGATGAAATACATGAAAATCCCAAAGACTACACCATAAATGCTGTGCTAAAAGAACTCTGTAATTATTCCCATGCATTATCCCTTAAATGGTCATCATCTTCCATTCCAGACATTGAAGCACTAAAAACTTTGAAAGTTTAGAAAATATTCAGCATAATCGGGCCACAAGTCCATGACCAACCTTCATTTCCTGGCTTCCCAGTTCCCCCAGCTCCCTCTCTCTAGACATCACCGACAAGCACTTACATCTCGGATATTAACAGCAATCCCGGCTTGGAAGAGTAAGACAAAAGAGCCATTGTCACTGATGCCTTCAGTGCTTCTCCCTCTCTATGAATGACATCCAATATCTACCGTAGGACATAGGGTATACAGAGGTCAAGAATACTGTTCTGGGATTAGAGGAGTCAAATGCAAACCTTGGTTCTGCCACTTACCAGTTGTATGACATGGAACAGATGGCTCTACAAACAGTGCCCTGCTTGTAAAATGGGAATTAAAATGAGATCTACTTCAAGGGCACCTGGGTGGCACAGTCAGTTAAGTATCCAACTCATGGTTTTGGTTCAGGCCGCCATCTCGGGGTCATGGGATCAAGCCCCTCGTTGGGCTCTGTGCTCAGCGGAGTGTCTGCTTGAGGATTCTCTTTCTCCCTCTCCCTCTACCCCTCCCACCTGTGCTCACTCTCTCTCTCTCAAATAAATAAATAAATATTTTTAAGGTAAGATATCTACTTCATACAGTTGTTAGGGTTCCATGCATTAAAAAGTACTTCGAATGATGTTTTGTACATTGAAAACATTCGGTGGCAGTGGGGGATGCTGGGAGCAGCCGCAGCAGGAGGGCTGCCCTGCCTCAGCTTCCAGTGCCCTTTCCAGCAGCAGCACGAACAAGCATCTGTGAGGGGTCTGCCCACACCACTGCTGCTCCCCAGCCCTGCCTTCCCTGGAGCAGTGTACATCTGCCAAGGAACTCATGGTGCTGATGGGACAAATACATGCTGATTGACTGATTTTGTTATCAAGCTGACGCATGACATCAGTCTTTGAGACATAACTTTATGATGTTGTTTATTGCTCGCTACAATAACATGATTTCAGGTAAAGGTTACAGAAGAATCTTTTCACTGCATTCTTCTCAGAAAACAAGATCCACCGCAGGAAAGATAGGAAGCGGGGAAGTCGGCGTTCCTCTCTTTTCCCCACAACCTGGGAAGCAAAAATAGTATTTAATGCAACACACGAATGTGAAATCGTATAACTTGGGTGATGGGAAGTCATGTATATAGAAAAGTGTGAGTGGTCAAGATGTTGTGCTTCTTGTAGACCCAAACCTACTCCCTATGGTGGTCCAGGCCTCTCTTCCCAGACGCTGAACATCATTTGTTCCTAAAGTTTGTGTACATGTCCTACCTAAACTGCAGAGGAGAGAGCATCTTTCACATAGCTTTGTGAAATCACAAACATACCGCTTTTCACTTAGGAACACACTGTTGTGGCAAGACTCTTAGGCCAGCTTACTGATGCCTGTCTGCCCATCATCAGCCCACTTCTCCCTGTCAATATTCGCAGATTTCCATTGCCTCTCTGCTCTGGTCCAGACCGCTGAGTGCGGTAGCTGTGAGTGGAGGTAGAGTGAGAGGACGAGACAGGCGTGTGAGGTACAAGGCACGTGGAATGAGCTAGAAACAGACACTGAAGCACCAGAAGGGAAAAGCCCCAGTGACCACACAAGCCACATGTACTTTTGGCATTTGACTCAGCAGGGATTACCTTTGGTGGGTTTTATTTTGTGTTTCTCAAGCAGCCTGGCTTTTGGCCGCCACCTTGGGCCCCTGAGAGGGGAAAAAAAGAAACAAAAACACATAGAAGAATTTAAGACATGACTATTTAAATTTGGAGACACATGTTGCCTTGAATTTTGGGAAGAAAAATTAAAGCAGTCCCATCTTGTAGAAGGGGAGGATTCAATGAACCCCCTTTCTTCAAGTGCAGTTTATGAACTGCCAGTGACCTCATCCCTCCCTTTTCATGACCTCAATGTACACACACACTCTGGTAAATGCTAGATACTGATTAATAACCTCGAATTACATTAAACATATTTGTAAAAGCTAATAATTTGAACCACATACACACACACACACAATTCCCACAGACCAAGCACTCCCTTGGAAAAAGTAGAGGGCTATCCACCAGAATGAAGACCGGGTGTGAGTGTGCGTGTCTGTGGCCAGGCGGGCAGGATATGAGGGGTCCGAGTGTGCGTGTATGCACGCGCATTGTGAGTCTGGGGTAGAGTGGGAGTTGCTGGGTATGAAAAGGTGAGAAAGGAAGTTGGAAATCAGTGAAGAGCTACTTCCAAGCAGCCTCCCTCTGGGGCTGGCATTCACGCGTACCTGAGAATCCACCGCAAGCTGGCAAGAGACACCAGTCCCTGGAGGGAGAACACTCAGGGAGCGCGTCTCCTCTCTTCCCCCTCACGGCACGCAGCCCCCACCAACGCCTCACTTCACACGTGTTCTCCTGAGGGACACTGCGGCAGGGCCCATGAAGGTGAGCCAGCCACCCCCTGAGAGATTTCGCGAACACCCTTCGTCCTCCCCTCTCTTTGGAGCTGATTACGACTTCCTTTGCACACCAGTCTGGCTATTTGTTTTATTAAACCAATGAGTGATTCAAAGAGAGTAAGGACCAAAGGTCTAATTCAAGGATAATGATCCCCATCCTCATTTACAGGTCGAGTAGTACAGCTCGGTGTAAGCTATGTGACTAAGATGACTGGAATCAGGACCTGGGTTCTCCTGGCATCTTTTTCTTACACCGTGTGGTTACCAAGGAGACAGTGCCGAGGCCCTTCCACAGGGACATCTGCCTGGGACATCAGGCTCACGGTGCTCCCAGAGGCCTCAGACACATTGCAGGGAGGAAGCAGGGTCCTACTGAGAGTTTGGTTGTATTTTGTGTGACCAGGAATACCGGATGAGTTTCAGCGGAAAGGAAACGGAACTACCTCTTCACGAAAGCAGGTTTCAGAGTCCTCGGCTTTGCAACATTTCGCCACCACGTCCGTGAAGTCCGAGAGCAACGACCGCAGTGCCGCCTCTGTAAGTTCAGGCCCCCGTTTCACTACATTAACAAGAAACCTGTGGCCCAGAGATGCCAAACGGAATTAATTCAAGACTCCTTTCTTAAGCTCCTCTTCCCCAAAACTCTTGTCACAATTTCACATGTCTTAGGGGGAACTTGACTTAGGGGGGAGTATAAAAAGTTAAAATAGTCCACTTCGAAGGAGTCTCCTTAAGCTTTCCTGTTCAACTTGTGGGATGGATTTCATGCTAACATTCTTCAGAGGGTGAGGTCATTATAAACAAAAATGATATAAAAAATGTGAGCATAAATTACATTTTCTTATGTGCAGTCCTGTGGGTTATGTGATTACTTTTGGTCTTTCTAGAAAATTCATTTTCAAAACAACCTCTATTCCCTTTTCCTCAGTAGCTGAATGCTGTTTCTACTGCACCTGATACAGATACTACCTAAATCCCCCTTTGAAGTCTTACTCTTTCGCATTTATAACATTGCCTGAGAAGACAAAAGTAAAATTCTTGTCCCTTTTAGGCCTCTCCTTTTTTTTCAAACAGTAAGCAAGATTCTCAGGGAAAATATCTATGACATTCCCTCATGAACTTATGAACTTGCCTATGACCTTTTTGCTGGCTTCCCTCAGTCACCTTTCCAAATCACACTGTACTCGACACTCCATGCCTAGGAAAAGAAAAGACTAGCGAGGTATTGACTTTCAAGCAACAGCCATTAAAAGGCCCTGGTGTTTTTCTGGATTGGAGAGAGTGGGCAATTTGATGGAAGTAACAGGATTAGAACACAAAAATCAGATGTATTACAGTATGCCTTCTCATTAACACATGATGTGCCTTCAGGCTGAAGAAAAAGGTGAATGGAAGAGAATGTTTATACCTGTCCTTCTTCCTTTGGAGCTCCTCATTATGAGACTGACATAAGTCTGTATGAAAGACAAATAAATCTTGAGGTGTAGATGGAGGTCTATACGTTTTATCAGCTTCCAAGCCCTCAAAGCAGGGTCTTCTGAAGGCAAAGTTCGTTTTACAACAGTGGTCCACATCTGGGTTGATGTTCCGATTTTCATTTAGTCCGCATAACTCTCCAAGAACTAAATCCATCTGTCCCAGTGAAAGTTGGAATTTAGACATGAGTTTAAAACTTGAATAGAGTTTTGAAATATGGTTAGAAAAACCATTAGATTGTTGTAAGATGACTATTAACTGTACTCAGAAAAACCCACGCACTTGTAAGCATGATACTACGTACAAAGTAGAAGCTTACGTTACAACACAATTTCAAGCCATTGTAATGTAAGTGCTATAGGTTAATTTCTTGTTAGCACATATACAAATCTGTAATTATGAGCCCTAGAGAGCTTCAAAACAGCCAACTGAAAGTGGCAGCCAAACAGAGTGGCCCTTTGATTTACTCCTTTCCTAGGGTGTTCTAGGTTATCCTCCAAGATAATCTCCACCCCAGCCCTAAAGACATACATCCAAGTTGTGATTGGGCAGAAGTATCCATTCTCTTACTGAGCAGGTGGGACAAGACTGAATTTGTAACATTAAAATTACAAAATTTCTTATATCATTCTGAAACATTTGCCCTAACAATTTACAAATAACAAATTAGTAATAAGAAGTAAGAGGGGTGCCTGGGTGGTTCAGTCGGTTGAGCTTCTGACTCTTGATTTTGACTCAGGTCGTGACCTCTGGGTTTTGAGATCAAGCCATGCATCAGGCTCTATGCTCAGCCTGCTTCTCCCTCTCCTTCTGCTCCTTCCCTTGCTCTCTCTCTCTCCCCCCATCTCTCTCTGTCTCTCAAAAATTAAAAAAAAAAAAAAAAAAAAAAAAACGTAAGAAAGATGATTTGGAGAACCCCCAAGAAAATGTTTAATACATTATCCTTTGCTTTTTAGGATTGTGATGCAGCGAGGCCCTTAAAAATCTTTGACATTCCTTGCTCAACAATGTTGAAAACTGTGAAGAAAAGCATGTAACTCCTAATTGCTATAGATCAATGCGTACTGTACAGCAGATGTCTCTTTTTTTTTTTTTTTTTTTTTTTTTTAAGGAATAGTTAGGTGCATGGGCCATGCTCACCAAATTGTCAACACAGGCAAACTCCTCACTCAGTGTGCAGCAGGTGGCCAGAGCTGTCACCATTTCCTTGCCGAGAAAGGTCAGTTCTTCAGTGGAGAGCTGGGGAGCTATCTT